AGCACCTGGTGTAAACATCCTTTAGGCAGGGCCTTGCGGTCGTGGAATCTCAAAATGATGGCATACAGTCATGACGTACCATCATTGCATACACCACTGCAAGATCTCTTCATCATCTGGATGGCTTTGAACACTCTTATGCACACAAGTCTGTTACTAGAACACTTCCAATAGCACATAGCTGTAACATTAGTCTATTTCCATTATCCAGTGTGCTCCCCATTATTATACATCTGTCTTTTCCTTCGTTTGAGGTTTGAATGGTGCTTTTTCTTTTATTAGCATCATCTAGTTGCGTTCTCTCCTGCAGTGGGACCCAGTTGAAGACTTAGCACCACCTACTCTTATCTTGATGAACCAACTCCCAATATCTGCAAAACAGTAGTGGATGAAAAAGCACATCTTTTGCCAGATTAAATTTGCACTAGAATTGGAGGGAAACCCAACTATTCTCTGCCTTGCCTTTCTCGCCACTAAGCAAGTACGCAGCTCCCAGGTCAGACCCTTGGTGATGTCGACACAATGTTACTCGAATCTCTCCACCAAGGACCTGTGTAGTTTATTCCCTGCTTCTTCCCAATGCCCACTCTGAGTTCCCTAGTCTTGCTGATAGAGGAGTAGGTTGTTGTCCTGACATCAGCGGGTTTCTACTTTTATATTTTTTAAATGTACCAGTTTCCAAATTGGACTTTGTTTATTGCATGCCTCATTGAAACCTCACTGCCTTTCCATACTGTGTCTTTGGTTACTACAGTAGAAATGCAGCAGTTTAATGAATCAGAACAAATCTTTGTTGAGCAGTATTTACACCCAAATAGTATCATTATGTTATATGAAGTATGAACCAGGTATTACAGGTTTATTTCAGTTATACAGGTTATAAGGGGAAAAAATATAATTCCACAAAAAAAAAATCAAATTGTCTCTTTAAAGGAAGGGTAGACGACATTCAGAAAAACTCAGTTAGTCTGAGCCAGGATTGTCTGCACATGGCTCTCAACATGGAAGTGGCTGCTAATGGTGCTAACAGCACAATAAGTGCTAACAGTTACATCAATGTAGGGGGGTGTGGGCTTTTGCGACAATGGCGTCCTTCAAACGTGGGTCAGGACAGCGGTGCGAAGTGGAGAGAGGCGGGATTAGCTAGCCAGTGGGATGTACACACAGGGACTCACATGCACTAACAAGCAGCCGGACGTCTACCCCAACAACGAACAGAGAAGTTCGTATTAAAACACACACAAAGAGCGTGATTTCATTCTCTGCTCAGGACGCCATTACTCCACTATATCTTTACATGGCAAATAGTTGTTTGCTGCTGTGTTAATGTTTTAAATGTCATATACAGAACCTTTAACCTTTCAATTGTACTGCCATTACTGACTGTGTGACTCTTTCTGAGATCACTAAATAAATTTAAAGCCATGTTAAAAAATGCATGTTAAAAAATTTAATAGTGTTTTTTTATGATTTCCTAATGAAACAATGAAATATTTGTACCTCATCTGTATGTTCGTGGTTAGAGATTTCACTTTGTACTTGAAAAAGGGAATTTGGGATGTTGGGATGTTCACATTGCTGAAACAGGAAAAAATAAAATGGAGTTCACCTTTTTGACAGTACAATCTGTGCCACATATTGTTGTTTCTTGAGGGGAAAAGCTAAAGAGCTGATTATTTCACTACAACATAGGTTTACTAGTATAACCAGTGTCATTTCCTTCTTCTCAGCACAGCATGTTTAGCACCTCACAGCCAGAAGGTGGAGCTCTTTATGCATTTGTTTACAGTAGATTAGACTACATTTCATGTTGTAAGCATGGGACTGTAAAGATTGTGTGTTTGTCCCAGAGATGGCTTTTACTGAGGCTCTCTAGGTCCCATACTCAACCTTCTATTTTAGTGACTTGTAATCTTAGTAACTAGTTTATTATTTATCAGAAACCTTTTTGTGAGTAAGTGTGGGTATTTTTGGGAACTAGTCAAGATAACAGTGCTCCACATCACATCCATCATATTGTCAACAACTGCAAGAAGGGTACATTTAAATAGCGACAAACAAATGCAGCAGCAGCACAAGTAAGTGTAACATGGTTTAGGTATGCACTTATATTCCTGTTGTTCCTTTAGGCCTGTGTGCATTCCTTGCAGTATCATTTGTGCCAATATAGCTGTTTTATTAATTTTACTACTGCTATTAATTCAGTTGCTATCTTTCTTTGTTTCTGAAATATAATACATCAGTTGCTACTACATAAAATGCACAAGAACATCCTATAAAATGATACAGAAAAGGAGCAACATTTAAAGGGGAACTCTCTATTTTTTATCCTAGACCCTATTTTCCCATGTTTTTCTGTGTAAGTGACTCGTAGGACCAACAGTCTTTATCCAGTATTGAGCAAGACCTTGGAGACTTTTTCCACATTGCCGAAATCAGCTGAGTATTCAGCCTTGACATTACAAATCTTTTAGATAAGGGTAAGACAGCTCTCTGTACTCAAACACAACAAACTATTTCAGCACTCCTCTCTCCTCTCATCGCATTTCCACTATTTTCTTTCTGCAACAAGTCACCTCTTGTTAGATTTCTGAATGAGGCTTCTTATTAGTGAGACTTGAACAAAAAACCGGAATGGTACAAGCATAAGGTACCCGAAAAACGTGTCATTTCTCTGTAGGATCCTTTCCTTAATGTTGCAAGACACTCATACTAACAATCTGAACCGATTAGCAGCAAAAACAAGCACTTTAGTGGACTTAAACTGAAAGGGCGCACCTGCCCTGAGTGTTTATTGCAGCCTATTTTGCCACTGCAAACCACCCCAGTGCATGCTGGAGGTCAAAGTGTGATGAAGCCAACAGAACCACATCATCTGCGAAAAGCAGAGATGCAATTCTGAGGTCCCCAAACCGGACCCCTTCTTCCTCCCGGCTCCGCCTCAAGATCCTGTCCATGAATATCACAAACAGGATCTGTGACAAGGGACAATCCCTGGGGGAAGCCAACACCCAGTGAGAACGTGTTTGACTTTACGCTGAGTATGTGGACACGGCTCTCACTTTGGTCATACAGGGACTGGATGGCTAGTAGCAGCGAGATACCCTGTAGTCCTGCAGTACCCCCCACAAGACACCCCGAGGGACGCAGTCATACGCCTTCTCCAAGTCCACAAAACACGTGTAGACTGGACGGGCAAACTCCTACAACCCCTCCAGCAGCCTCGCAAGGGTAAAGAGCTGGTCCATTGATCCATTGTCAGGACGGAATCCACATTGCTCCTCCTGAATCCAAGATTCGACAATCGGTAGGTCAATTCCAGTACCCAGGAGTAAACTATTCTCAGGAGGCTGAGCAGTGTGATACCCTGATAATAGGAGTTCGGACATCCAGAGGGAGCTAGGAGTAGAGCCACTGCTCCTTCACATCGAAAGGGGTCAGTTGAGGTGGTCTGGGCATCTGATCAGGATGCCTCCTGGGTGCCTCCAATTGGAGGTGTTCCAGGCATGTCCAACTGGTAGGAGGCCCGGGGCATAGGGATTACTGGCCTGGGAACACCTTGGGGTCCCCCAGGAGGAGCTGGAAAGCTTTGCTGGGGAGAGGGACATCTGGGGTGCTTTGCTTGGCCTTTTGCCCCCGCGACCTGGCCCCGGATAAGTGGATGAAAATGATAGATGTTTTGCCACTGCTGGCTGCGCCGCTTTTATTCTGTACTGGACCAATTTCAAAAATTGTTGTTCCCATTAGTCACTTAGACACAAAAACAAGGGAAGTCCAGATTGAAATATACAGAGAGTTTCCTTTTCAATGTTGGTGGGTCTGTCTGTTAAAAATTATTTGTCACTTCCTATAAGTGAAACATGTATTTTAATTAACCCAAGAGAGGTGAAAGGACAGGTTTGCTGTATTTAAGTATTGAGAGGTGATTACGTGTCAGAGTTTTAAGCCTGTGCTTGTCACATATATAATCAACACCCTGTAAATATCCGAGCAGTTTTTAGCATTGAAATTTAATTAAATGTAGATTAGAGAGTGCCCTAAACTGATCTAGACAGACTTGCGTCTTCAAATACTTCAGTACACTAAAGGTCCAGGTTCAGGGTGCCAAACCTACTGTCCCTGACTCTGCGCCAGGTTAAATGTGGAGAATTCCCCGCTCTGAGGCTAAGCGTCCAAAAAACTGTAGTCCATGCTGAATAACAGTAGATCACTGAGGAAAAAAATGCACAATATTTGCAGTTGAAGGGGTCATGAGAGGTTACTGATAAGTAATTATTTTGTGTTCAGGTCCAGCTTGTCCTTGTATTTGGTCATAATCCAAAGACCAGACAGAAAACTGATTTGTACGGACATGGTTGACATGCATGAAGATTTAAATACAATTATAACTGCATACATAACTAGATGATACAATACAGCTCAGTCTTTTTTTTAATACAGGGGCAAATACATAAGACATGTGGCACTTTCCCAAAAAGTGCTTCACATGATTTTAATTTTTTAAAATATTTTTAGGACTTTTAGGCAAATAAAATCCCGCAACTTAAATAATACAGAGAATAAATGGAATTTTTGAAAAAAATCAAGAAAAAAATAGGATCCTTCATAAATTCAAATAATAATGTTGACAGTACATTTAGAAAGTAAAATATACATACGACAGGTAGAACTTATTTAGAGTTCTATATAGTCATGTTGCTTTGTGCCACCTTGTAATGGTCTGTAGTGACCTTGTTAAAGGAGTGCCCCATCAGTGGATTACTAGAAGTACGCGTCTCCTGTGATGACGAGTCAAAAGTCACTGGAATGGAGGGAAGAAGGTTACCTGATAGAAAGACTTCCTTGAACTCTGATCCTCTGTTTACCCTGAAGATAAACCCTAAAAATACACCTTCCTTAATCTTCTTATAGGGCGTGTGGTAGGAGTTAGTCTTTGACTGCCTGATGGACAACACACACACACGCACACACACACACACACACACGCTGAGTCAGTCACACAGTCTTACAGAACAACGTAATACCTGACATTCAACAGAGGGCTTTAACGTCTCGAGATTTCCTTTATGGTTTCTCACTTGGAGTCGATCTGCAGCCTGAGCTGTGTGGACGAGAGCCTCGACGGCACGAGCATGTCGGGCCTCCTCAACCTCAGCAGCCTGGGCAGGATCTGCGGCTCCAGCCACAGCAATGAAATGGTGGTTTTGGACCGGGTCAAGAGGAAGAACTCTGTCAGACGCATGTCGATTATTGAAGACGGGGAAATCGCAGAGGTTCTCTACCTGATTCCTAAACAGTCCATGATGGAGCAGCTGCCTTTCATCAACCCCAACGACTACATCCTGTGTGAGAAGCTGGCCAGTATACCTGCAGAGATGTCAGGTAATCACTACTTCCTTATGTAGTTGCCATGGGTGATAAGTTATTATTACAACCTATAATTTGGCTGTGCAGTTTTTTGTAGACGTACCACATGACATTGATTTCCCACAGGGTAAATGCTGAATAATGACTGGATGCAACACGTTCTGTCCACTTTATTGAAAATAATTTCATGTAGGAATCAAGCTAATAGACAATAATGTTGCACACGCAAGATATTAGCCAATCTCAGTAACTATTCGTAACCACAGTTCTTCATTTCAGTAGATATTGATGGTTTTTTCAACTACAGTATGGACATGTGCGTAATCCATGACATTGCTGTCAACTCTTTGACCTTGTCTCATTTGACTGCTGCCTCTACACAACCTTTATCGTCAATGTTGTGCCTTGTTTATAAGGTAAAGTATCTTATAATGATAACAATAGTGAAATATTTTCAATAAAGCACCTTTCACAGCAACGAAATTCACGCAGTGCTTCACAAAATACAATCAAGCAATCAACTGTAAACCTAATGGAGGAGAGTTCCAGAGTGTTGGAGCAGGATCACCTTTAGCTTTGAGTCTGAAGCAGCCAGCCAGTAGGTCCTGGTCTGAAGACCTAAGGGACCTACTGACGATACATGGATAGAGGAGATCACTGTTGCGGAGGGCTCTGTACGTAAGAACGACTATCTTAAAGTGAATCCTGAACCTGATGGGAAACCAATGTAAAGAAGCTAAAATGGGAGTGATGTGAGTTGACCCATTGGACCTGGTTAAAAGCCTTATGGATTGTTTGAAGATGATTCAGAGAAGATTTGTTCAGACAAGTAAAAAGAGAATTACAGTTGTCTAATCGGGAGGACACAAAAGCATGGATAATCATCTCTAGCTCAGGTCGAGACACCAGCTGAATAAAACAAATTTGGGTCAGTTATTTAACATGATGATCCAAATGCATGGCCTGATCAAAAATAACACCAAGACTGCTAAAATTTGATGGTATAGCTGACGAAAGGAATCCAATACTCTGGGCAACCTTGGAAGACTATGCAGACTAAAGAAGTGTTTGTATTAGTATAGTGGTTCTCAAACAGGGGTCCTTGAGGGAGGTCCAGGAGGTCAATGGAAAATGGGGAATAGATTATTTTCACTATTTTTTCACTATAGAAGTGAGCCCAGTGTGAGTAAGAGTCATAAAAGTGACTATTCTGATCATTGGTTTCACTTCGTCCACTGTTATCTCCTCAACTGTAATTGACACTAACAACTCATCTTTTAAGGTGGAGGTCCCAAAAGCAAAATCTTATCAAATGGGGGTTCATAACCTTATGTGTATCAATTTACAGGTCTTGACATGAAGAATATTAAGAACCACTATATTAGGAGACAAATCGTATATTCAGTCAGTGAGTTTTGAAAGCCAGAAATATTAACAGCAGGTAAGGTAATCACTGAATCATCTCTGCTGAACAACAGTCCCTTCATAGATAAACAAATATCATGGCAAACTACTGCAAAGGAACAGAAAGTCATTAAGTATTTTCACATGCATCGTCAGTGAGCTGGTTATTGAAGGTGAATGTCATCACCACGTGAAGAAGTTTAAAAGCTTGACACAATAGTGTGAGTTTACCATGGATACACGAATATGTAATAATAATGCACAGCTCTGTCAGCATTAAATGTCTGGCATTCAGATATTCTCTTGCTCAGCATGGTTGAGGTCATGGTTCAGAGGCACAAGAGTGCTTAATGGCACTCCTACTGCTGTCCTCTCTGAGCACACAAACACACACACACTCCTGCCCTCTGTGTTTGGACCACCCCCTTTCTCTTGGACCAGCAGTCCAGTTAGTTCCTCTCCTCACTCTGATCCGCTGCACTGAGCGCTCCCACAGCCGAGCAGAAACCAACAGCCATGAAAGAGAAAGGTAGACACTTTTGAGTGTGTGTGTTTGTGTTTTAATGTGTGTGTGTGTGTGTGACAGAAGAAGAAAGAAAGGACGTGTGCCAGCTTGTGCTTTATGTTTTTAGACACTTACACAACTTGGAGTTGAGTGTACCATATTTGTCAGGTCTCATTACCTGTTTGTTTTTTGGCTTTCCATGTGAGGTGGTATTTGTTTTAAAGGTCATATTGTTTATGACATTGCTTAACTGTTCCTGCAGGTATAGTTAATATTCTTGTGTTATGCATTGTATAGTGTTTTTAATGTTAGTCATAATCTGTGAGGCTTGGCTGATATTGCGAACGCTCTGGTGTGTGAATTATTTAAACAAAATGACATTATTTTATTGTATACTCTTTGTATTTTTGATCTTTTAAGATTCTCAAATATTACACAAACCTGGAAACTGAATACGGAGATAAAAACTGTGGTTGCCAAGTGGGGAAAAGTGCAGGCACAGCTGTTGGCTCATCATAAAGCATCATGTTAGGTCAAGAGCAGCATGTGATTTTAGTAATACTTCTGAATTAAGCAGTGTTTCACACTGATTATTGTATTTTGCAGCAACAGTGAACTCAGTCGGAGTTAAGTTGTAGAAAAACATTCTCTTTCCACTTAATTAGTGACTGTTGAGATTAAAAACATCCTGATACTGTAGTTTGCTGTCCTCAAGAAACTCCTGAAGTTGCGCTAATAATACAAAATTTAGTATTTAGCATTTTTATATTCTGAATCAAAGCATGTACACATGCCTAAGTCACTGTGGATGCTTTTCTAGAATATCTAACATGAAGTGAAGTGCTTTCTAAATGGGATGTGTAAAGCTGTGCGGGATTATTTTGGTGTCAGAAAATGACCCTGACATTTTCACTGATATTCTTGTACGGTGACTTTACGAATAGTCACAAAAAAATCTGTTGAAAGCCCTAAAGACGGCTATTAACGATTATTGACACACACACAGTAGCATGAGCAAATGAAGCTTTTAGCCTATACAACAAACACACACTAATGTCATTCAAAAAGTACATAAATGATCTCACTGTATGGCGAAAATTATAGTCCATTGCTTAAGTGGCTCATACAGTTTATAAAACATAGTTTACATTACTTTGTACTTTACATAGAATCAGAATCAGGTATATTTAAACATCTACATAAAAGACTTAAAATAGACATTCCCTCACTCCTTACACATACACATACACACACACACGTGTACACACACAGATGCAGATTCTCATAGCCGGAGACAGTGGGTTGTTGTGTGATTAGCTGTCTGTCTCAGGTTTCCCTCCATTTGCTGTCTTTCTAAATCTACCATTTGCTAATACTTGACACCCTATCAGCTTCACATTCTGGGAGAGATCAAGAAAGAGTGCAAGAAACTCTGAACTCTTAAAATATGTCCATGTGGAGGCCCCACATGTGAGCAATAAATAAAAGCATACAAGGGATATACTTATAGGATATACTATATATACACATATAGGCTACAGGATAATACGACACACATACTGTGTTGTTGTATACACACAGTACAATGTAGTACAGCCTGTTCTTGGAGATCAGTCAATTTACAACAAAACAAAAGTGTCAAAGATTTCTAAACGGTAAGAGTAATTCTGTGATGGTTTATTTTGGCATCACAGCTCCTTCATTAACAAATATCTGAGGCGCTCTAGGACAAAGGCCAGTTTGGCTGTGTTGTCAGTCACTGTTGGAGTGCCATGGCTAAGGGTTATATTCCCACTAGGGTTTTGTTTGGCAGAGATGATCCTTACTTTCACAAAATGTTTTTAGATCAGATTTTATACAACTACTATCACACAAAGTTCTCTTACTGATCTTCCATTGGCAGGAATGATCTCAAAATGTTAATTATGTTGCTGTAATCAAAGCCCTCGTCTTTCAGGGTGACCGAAATCACGTTTTTATGTCAATGGAAAGTCACAGTAAAATTTGTATTGTTTGTTGCTGGCAAAAATCATCATCATCATCATCATCATAAGTCTGCTAAAGCTGAAGTTGTTCCTTGTCTTACTTATGAGACTTAACCTCCTGAGACCCTAACTTTTGTTGGTAAGCTTTTTTAATTTCTCCTAGCTCTTTGGGATCAATAGGACCCGATAAGTATAGAAAGTTTCAACCACACAATGCGATCAGGTTTTGGACCTTGTTTACTTTTGTGTCGGGATCGGCTGCAGACTAACTTGGCAGAGATGGCTGCCATCTTGTTTTTATATGAATTATTGTATTGTGCTCTTACTACCACTAGATGGCACAAAAAAGTGTCCACGAACAAGGACAACAGGTCTAAAGTTAAGTAGAATGAAGTGTAAGGTCCAGTAAACCCAAAATGTGATGTCCTCATATGAGGACACGGGGTCTTAGGAGAGAGTGTGTACGATTGTTGGGGATTTAGTGGCATCTAGTGGTGAGGATTGCAGATTGCACCCAGCTGAAACTTATTACGGTTAGAATTCCTTCAGCGGTCATTGTTTTCTACCAGGAGCCGAATTATCACAGAGGTCTCTTCCTCTCCAAAATACCAGTAAAACACTGAATAAAGCAGTTTTATGTTGAAAAAATCTCACAGAGGGGCTGCTAACTATGGTAGCCAATGCGAGAACGTGAAAATGGCCCTATCTAGAGCTAGTGTTTGATTCGTCCATTCTTGGCCACTGTAGAAACATGGCAGTGCAACATGGCCAACACATTTTAAACTCTGACCCCATCACATATCGACGTTTGGTCATGGACCTTCCACGTCCAGATACGACGTGACAGGTCCCCTTGGTGTGTTGGTTGTTGATGTTCTGGGACGCAGGGTCAAATTCTGCCTGTTCCATGCATTGTTTTCTTTCAAAATACACTTCCATTTTCACAGGAAATGTACTGTTTACATACTGTCTCTTTCAAAATAAAGGCACTACATCAGTACGATACCACCAATTGACTTTTTTTTTTTTTCTTACTAAGGCACGTCCTTAGGTTTAGGCTACAAAAACACATCCACCATTCCTCACACCCAACCTACTCAGACTTTCGCCATCGAGTGCCGTTAAATTATAACGTCAACTGGCCATGCGTCATGCCGACAATAAAGGACAGCTTTTTTCGTCAGTGTCTGATGCTGCAAGTCACTGCCCAAGTGCTCATTCGATGACTTTGAAATGAGACCGGGTTGACATGGTGGACTGTAGACAAGGACCTGATCACAAATTTATGTTTCCTAGGATAGCGAAGGCATGACCTGACCTACTGTCCCTCTGATTGGCTAGTACTTGTTGCCTTCGTTTGTCGGATTGGTTAGGTTTAGGCGGGAGAATTAATATTGATTAGGGCTAGGGTAAGAATGTCAAGGAAAGCTAAATTGTGACCTGCTACCTGTGTAGATAGAAACAGCTCATTCTAAGGTAAAGAAAACAAAAACAATTCATATTTTCAGGTGATTATACACTAAAGAAAACATATTTATTATATTATATTCCATTTCTGCCAATATATCCCCCATAAACCCTACACACTGGACCTTTAAGTAGACTGCTCCAGGATGTTATGGATTACTAGTCTCTGTCTAATCACTATCATCACTAATACTGTCTGCATCACAGCAGCTGGCCTATAGTGAAAGTTAATAATCATCACAGCACTGCATTTTGTGCTCACTGGTTTGTCTTCACAGCTGTACAATCATTTACAGTGAGCACGCTCTCTTAATCTAGCTTGTTACTTCATGCTTGTTACCATAGTGACAAATCTCTCCTGTCGAGGGGGGCAGACTTGGGGCCACATACCGATGGTGCTTGACTCAATTTTCTTCGTATTCACGAGGCTGAGTTGGGAAACAGCTTAGGAAATATTTCCCTTTCCAGCCGTGTGAGGAAGTCTTTGTGTTTGGGTCAAATAAATTTAGACACAACTCGTTCATGCTTGTGTGGCTGAGATTAACTGAGGTACAGTAGACCGTCCAGTGTAGCTGTTGTCTAGTTAATAAATTGATTTGTTTTGACTGCCTCTGTGGCAAAACTGGATATGGAAAAAAGGAAAACTGAAGCTAGTGTGTGCGTTTATCTGTTTGTATGCTGCGTGTCCACACACTGGGAGACACAGCGCTCTCAACGTGCCACATTCTTTCCCCTCTCTCCTCTGCTAATCACATTCAAGACCTCTCAAGTAGGCTGTGATTAGATTGTACAGGCATCCACTGCTTCTGCTGCCTTATAAACATCAAGGAGACAGAAGCAGAAGGAAGGAGCTTCTTGTTACAGTATGAGACTAGGTTTGACACCCAAGCGGTGACACTTCACGTGGAATATTCTTACTGAAGTTGTTGTGCGATCTAATAGGATAAATAGTGGCTTCTTTGTGAACTTGTCTGTCTTTGTGTGTGTATGTGTGTCTCTGTGCCAAAGCAGAGCGTGTCTGTACGTTACGTTCGGTTATGTAAGCACTGACGGGACATTTCTGAGGGACTATTGTATTGCAATGAGCTGCTCAGGCAGGAAAGGATAAAACCTAATTTGAGTATAGGAAAATGTGTACTTTGTGACCAAATACCTGCAGAACTAATGAAATTAGCCTAGCATACTGTGTGTTTATTTCTGATGAACAGAGTTTCAAGTTTTTTTTTTTGTTTAACAAATGCACAGTGATTACAGAAGCTGTTGTTGCCAGTGAAAATCATGGGTCTCTGGCTTCATACAACAATGCTAATTTTAAATGTAGCCTATAAAAAAGCATTGTTACTGTAGCAAATGTTAGCATGCTTACACACATTAAAGGGCGACTTCTGTATTTCTCTATGTTTTTCTGTTTAAGTGACTAATAGAGTGCCCAAGGAATGAGTACAAAAACCTGGAAATGAGTTCACATATTAACACTCAAGGTTTCCTCGTCTCTAAGTCAATGGATTTTTGGTTAGATGCCTGAAATAAAGTCTGCGGTTAACACCAGCTTAAGAGATTTTCATATTTTGTTCTACGACAAAAAATATGTCAGTAAATACCCCACTTGTGAAACTAGAAGCTTCTATGTGTCTAAAAAGAGGAGGCTGCTAACAAGTGGCTAAATAAGTCTACAGAACATCATCACGCCGCGCCGCGCCAAACATGGCTTTACTAGGGTGACCATATTTTGATTTCCAAAAAAGAGGACACTCGGCCCAGCCATGACATAGCCTACTTAAATGATACTCGCAGCTTACTCAAAGATGCCTTATCATTTTAATATATTTAAAATTTATATGTATGGATAAAAAATTCAGTTATATTACAAAATAATACCTCTCAAAGACAGAAATTCAGATAGGCCCCAATAGAGACATATACACATACTAGAGTTTGGCGATCCGAGCCTGACGGTACACGACAGGTCGGGCCGGGTTTGGTCAAAAATGTAGCTATAAATTGTAACAACTGTGTGACACAAACTCAGTGCTTTGGTCATTAAATAATGTCGGGCTCGGTTCGGGCTCAGAAATATGCGGCCCGTGCCGCACTCTAACACACACGCACAAACACACGGAAAACCGGACATTATCATCAGTTTATAAAAAACCCCTGGACGCCCCGGATGGGACGTGAAAAGTGGACATGTCTGGGCAAAAGAGGACGTTTGGTCAGCCTAGCTTTACAGTCTTGTTATGGTGGTGACAACAGCTTCATGTGACCATGGTGAAGTTCATTTAAGTCCCGTTTCCAGCAAGCATTCCAGTACAGTTCGGTTTGGTTCAGTTCAGTTCTGATTCCACTGTGAGAAGTTGTGGATGGTACCAATGGAACTGCCCACAAGTTGCCGCCAATCGCCCAGTGAATTAAGTTTGTTTTTTTTTTCAGTCTACAGCAGCAAAACATCCTTTCATTTTATACTTACAGTTTACCAATGTATAAAACTCTCTACGGTATGAGCAGTGGTTACATGAGGCTTTAAACCAGCCACAGCTCAGCCCTGAGCAGAGTGACCATCTGCTATTGACCAATCAACAGACTGCAGTGTTCACAGCTCCACCTTTTAGTACCAGATCTGTGTGCTAGGAACCCCAACAGAGAGGGGACCAAAAATGGGGACGATACGAAACGGTTCCATTAGTACCATCCACAACTTTTCACAGTGGAAACAGAAAAAAAATGTGTACCGAACCAAACTGAGCTGTACTGTACTGCTTGGTGGAAACATGACTTTATAGCCTAACATTAGCTTTTTACTTCTGGTGATTGCAATTAGGCTTCAATAATCATGAAAGGGGTGTTTATTTGTCAAGATTCTTTTGCTGAACAAAATGTCTCTTTGCCACAGAGTTTATTTTCTACAATACTCCAAAACCCAGTGGAAAAATCACATAGGCTTTTTGATGAGTGAACCAGCGTGTATGCCAAGGAGCTTTAGCATACAGAAAAACGTCTTCCCTGAGGCACTCAACTGGAACAATAATTTGTGAAATGTTTTTACTGAGTATCAGTTTATGTTCCAAAGAGCTTGTTTTGCCACTGACAGGCTAGGATTGTTATTTCAAGTGTCTGACAACATTATGGAAAGGATCCCCACAGAGGTCAGCCTTTCTGTTGAAGATTGGGTCCTTTTTGTTTAACCAGAGGCAGCCTCAAAATCGGTATTGCCAAACCCACCAGTCTTCATTTAAAGAAACTGTTATTTAAGCATGTATAGATCCATAATTATGTGAGACTGTCATAATAACGATCTGAGCCTGTCAGTAGCAAAAACAAGCACTTTTAATGCACATACATTGACAGTGCATAACTGCCCCATGTGGTTATATCACAACATGTTTTGCCGCTGCCCGCTGAAACCCTGTCATTCAGTACTGGATCAGTTTCAAAAACTGTTGCTCCCTTTAATCACTTGGACACAAAAACATGGGGAAATAGGATCCACGTTAAAAATACTAAAGTTACCTGTTACCATTTAGCCAAGTTCAGTGTGTTAAGTAATGTTTACCATGTTCAGCACAGCTAACATTATAGCTGCTAAACAGTGCCATGTTAGCATTGTCAGTGTGAGCATGCTAGCATGCTGATGCTAGCATTTAGCATTACCTAAAAGCACTAAAAGCACTGCTATGTCTAAGTGCATCCATAGCATACAGCTTCACAGAGCTGCTAGCATGGCTGCAGACTCTAGTCTTCCCACATTACTGCACCAAGCCGCTTTGCTAAATCTGCCAGAACTTTTTAACTTTCCTTGCATGATAAAACATCAACAACAGGTGGATATGTTTGTCGATAGTGCTTTCTGGATGCAAACGTGAGGCTGTAGATACTAGGCCTACTTGCAAAGTTACATAAATTTTGTTTCATTAAAGCCTAGTAAACTGAGAGTGGCTGTTTGTTTAAAGGAAGAGGCAAAAAATGTTTTAAAGACCAAGACTTGGCATTTTCAGGCTATGTAAAGTGACATTTTGTATGACAAGCTGATATTCAAACATGATAATGAATTTGTCAAGACTGAGCTGATTTATTTCTCCTTCTCCTTCTCCTGTAGTGCTACATGCTCAGGGTGGCTGCCACCCGTGTTCTCCAGTGGGGAAGCGGGTCATCCAGTGCTTGAGGTGTGGGGAGCCGTGCAAAGGAGAGGTGCTGCGAGTCCAGAGCAGCCACTTCCACGTAAAGTGCTTTACCTGCAAGGGTGAGTACCATCAATATACACACTTTTGGACTATCCTGTAGTCACACCGCAGTCAGAATAGTCTCATAAGCCCAATAGTAGGCTATAAGTGTCTAAATTTGGACATTACAGAAACTTGAGAATCCAAAGAGCAGAATTCCTCATGTGCAGTGGAGATGAATGGGAGGCTGCTTTGAATACCTATCATGACTGAATTCATGACTTTTGCTCCAAATTACTCAGTAAAAATAAGATTACTCTTTCACATAAATGTAATCAGAGGCCTAATTGCGCATTTCATTCAGATTAGAGTACTGTGGTGGGGATTGATTTTAAATTTAGAATTTAAACTCTGGAACTCTTCAAATGTATCAACAATTTTACATGTAAGTAGTAACACAATTAACATTTGAGTCCTTATGTTGCATTAAAACATCTTATTTCAGTAGGTACCTTTTAAATTGAGCAGAATTTGCCAGAGATTTATTAGTCAGCCTGCTGGCACCATCAAATTCAATTTATTACCCAATTTTCTGCGTCTACAATGGGCTGTTGTGAGAACCTGTCAGACAGTCATTCGCAGTGAGTTTGCTTCGTGGAAAACATATTTCCTCAGCGGGCCATTGTCCACACTAATTGAAAGCGACAAGCTTCTCGTGTTGTTGCCCTTTCATCGCATTGTGATGGTGTTTACAGCGCAGGGGGAACAAAGGGGACTTTCAGAGCAGAGATGCCTGCAGTATTTTAACAGTGGGAAGACGTGGGGATCGACGGACTCTGTGGGCTTTACTCAATTAGAATTTGCCTCAAAGTGATTCACTGTGAATAAATGTGAATTAAAATAAGCCTTTATCAAGTTTTATCTAAATAAATGAAACTTTATGGTACAAAAAAAAGTGAAAAACAATTGCCCCATTGATAAGAATAGTATATTAGTAGCCTATAATTAGGACAAATTACTCACTTTATCCATTTATGAACATCAGAAGATAAACATTAATCACTAAAGTTATCTGTATGTCATTTCCATTAATCAATCTCTGGGGTTTAGAACAAAGTAAACACATGTCCGTGCATGTTTTTTACAGGCTTAAAAATAGTCTTTTTTAAATAAAACCCATGTACGTTGTAAGTCTAAGTCAGACAGGAATAGAGCAGCATAAATCTGTCCTTGGCATCTCTATGTGTTATGTAGTGGCAGGTTCAGAAGGTCAGAGTCGGAAGCGGGTTGTGTGGTATCGGATGACTCCAAACACTGCCTTGCTGTCATTAACCTGTCAAACACATAAACACCTCAGAAACCATGACAGGATCATGAGGTCAGACAGCATAAATAGGATTTACCTCATGTCTTTGATGGATTACGTATATGTTGTTGTTGGCTTATACTACAATGACAACAGCCTGAAAAAAAGTTGACAATTTAAACTTTAAAATTAAGTTACTGACCCAAAATACAAAAATAAATAAATGTATAAAGAGTAAATACATAATTTAAGAAGTTACAAGTATTTTGTCCCAAACCTCTTTACACAATAATAAAAGACCACACAATAAAAACAAAAATAAATAAGGCAAACAGCAATATAAGCAGACCTGTAGACAAATAAAAAAAATCAAAGGGTTACATTCTAAAATGACCTCTTTCCATCATAGGCTCAAAAATTTAGTTGGTAAAAATATAAGGTAACAAAGAGATGAGAGCATTTTAATACCTTGTTTTGCCCAAAACCTAAACCCATTTAGGACAATAAAGTTTATCTTAAAAAGAATTTATTGCAGAATGGAAGTGTTCAAGTAAGCAAAGTTAAGTAAATTGTCATGTGTTTGTCTCGTTAAAGCTACATTAAAGGTCCAGTTTGTAAGACTTAGGGAGATTTAGTGGCATCTAGTGGTGAAGATTGCAGGTTGCAACCAGCTGAAACATCTCCCGGTTAAATTCCTTCAGTGTTCATTGTTCAGGAGGTTTTCAGTGGGAGAAATGAGATATGTTCAGGGCCAATGATGAGAACGGAGTTGAATATTAAGAACTTTTGGGACATCCAGCTTTTTATGTCAAGAGAAATTTACTGGTGTCAGGGGGTTTAACGTACAGGTAGAGCTGTGTATCATCTGCATAGCTATAGAAAGAAATGATGTGATGACATATAATCTGTCCCAGGGGTAGCATGTACAGGGTGAACAGAACAGGTCCCAAAACTGATCCTTGTGGTATTCCATGTTTTGACTGAGCAGTTTTTGAGAAATATTCCCCAATGGTGACAAAAAGTTTTCTGTTGGTTATATATGAAGAAAACCAGTCCAGAGCGGTTCCAGTTATATGTAATATGTTTTCTGTTGTCACATATCTCCCCCTGTATGACTGCTTGTCTGTTTGCAGTGTGCGGCTGTGACCTGGCTCAGAGCGGCTTCTTCATGAAGAATGGCGACTACCTCTGCCCGCTGGACTTCCAGAGGCTTCACGGCACGCTCTGTAACAACTGTGGGGAATTTGTGGAGGGAGAGGTGGTCACAGTCTTGGGGAAGACCTACCACCCAGCCTGCTTTGTGTGCACCGTTTGCAAGTAACTGTGAAAAAGAAATAGATAAATAAAGATTTTGGAGGCAGACTAACTCTTTTTTTTTTTTTTAAACTGCATGGTTTACATCTGTCTCTGTCTCCGTTTCTCAGACAGCCCTTTCCTGCTGGGGATTGTGTCACCTTCAGTGGAAAGGACTGCCTCTGTCAGCGCTGTATCCGACCCATGTCTCCAACTCCTAATAACATCCGCTGTTCCAGTAGTACGTGCACTCTTGTATGATTTATTCTCTTAGTGAGCCAGGACATTTGATCCCGTGTTGACATCAAAAGTATTTATTAACAAAGCTTATAAATAGATCCAAGACTTTGATCCCATGCAGATATAATCAGACAGGGGATTATGCACTGAACATTGTCCAGCTGTGGTCGCAACGCTGAGTTGACATTACCTTAAAAATCCCATCATCCTCCTGGGATCCTGCCAGGTCAGGGACTCAGTGCAGACTAAGAGATACAATAGAACTAAACTCTCTATCTTAACTTTATCTTATCCACCTGACATCAGTAGATAAGATAAAGATGAATAGATTCTGAAAGCCTGTGGATTAAGAGGTCTCTAAGATTGTACAGAAAGGTCCCTATTTTAAAAATCTACAGGAAACTGCAACTCAGATAATTCAGTTTTTACATGTTTATCTCATGGGCAGATTATGAGACAATGGCCCCCTGGCCACAGACATGTAGAAGGCCCCACCACCTAGGAGCAAGACACAGATTTCATAGATGTCTAGTCTGTTTTTGTTGTTGTTTGGCATCTCTTTGTCGTCTTCATGCATCTCTCTGTGGTTTTGTGTCATTTTGTGGTCCTTATGTGGCTGTTTATAGTTGTTTTGTATCAGTATGTAATTGTTTTAGTCTTTTTTTTGTTTTTTTTGTCATCTCTTTGTAGTCATTTTAGTCTTTTTGTTATTGTTATGCCCCTTTTCATAGTCACTTACTCATTTTGCATCCCATTTTAGTCATTCTGCATCCATTTGTAGTCATTTTGAGACTCTTTGCAGTTGCTTTGTGACGCTTTTTGGTCATTTTGCATCCCTTTGAAGTTATATTTGGAGTCTCTCTGTGATTGTTATGCCCTTTTTGTAGTCATTTTGCATCCCTTTGTAGTCATTTTCCGACTCTTTGCGGTTGCTTTGTGTCGCTTTGTGGTCATTTTGCAACCCTTTGAAGTTATATTTGGAGTCTCTTTGTGATTGTTATGCCCTTTTGTAGTAATTTTGCATCCTTTTGTAGTGCATTTGAGTCTCTTTGTAATTGCTTTGCATCCCTTTGTAGTCATTCTTAGTGTCTTTGTAGTTGTTTGTATCAGTTTATAAGTGTTTTGGTCTTTTTGTAGTTATTTGTCATCTCTTCGCAGTCATTTTGAGTCTCTTTGCGATTGTCATGCCCCGTTTTGTAGTAATTTTGCATCCCTTTTTAGTCATGTTGCATCAATTTTTAGTCATTTCGAGACTCTTCATAGTTACCTTGTGTCCCTTTGAAGTTATTTGGAGTCTCTCTGTCATTGTTATGCCCTTTTTGTAGTCATTTTGCATCCCTTTGTAGTCATTTTGAGACTCTTTGTAGTTTCCTTGTGTCCATTTGTGGTCATTTTGCATTCCTTTTAAGTCATTTGGAGTCTCTTTGTAGTTTTCTTTAGTCCCTTTGTTGTCATTTTTGCATCCTTTTGAAGTTATTTGGAGTATCTTTGTGATTGTTATGCCCTTTTTGTAGTCATTTTGCATCCCTTTGTAGTCATTTTGAGACCCTCTGTTGTTGCTTTGTGTCCATTTGTAGTCATTTTGCATCCCTCTGTAGTCCATTTGAGTCCCTTTTAGTTGTTTTGTGTCAGTTTGTTATTGTTTTGGTCTCTTGTAGTTGTTTTGCATCTCTTTGCAGTCATTTTGAGTCTCTTTGTTGTCAATTTGAGATACTTTGTGATTGTTTTGTATACCTAGTCATTTTGCATCCCTTTATAGTAATTTTGAGTCTCCTTGTGATTGTTTTGGTATTTTTCATGGTCATTTTGCTTCTCTTTGTAGTCATTTTGAGACTCTTTGTAGTTGCCTTGGGTCCCTTTATGGTCACTTTGCATCCCTTTGTATTCATTTCATGTCTCTTTGTGGTTGTTTTGGTCCCTTTCATTGCCATTGTGAGTCTCTTTGTGTCTCTTTGCAGCTGTTTTGCATCTCTCTGTAGTTGTTTGTGTCTCTTTGTATTCATCTTATGTTTCTTTGTGATTATTTTGGGTCTCTTCCTGGTCGGCACATGTCTCTTTGAGTGACATTTTGCAGGTGGAAGCCAGGGGATCACTGACAATTTAGGCCCCTGGGCCTGGTAGGCTTGTTCAGTAATCCATCCACAGTATATCCAGAAACAATTAGGAAGGTTGAGGATCACTGGATCAGCTGGGCCCAACACTTTTAGTGTAATATGGATTAAAGAACATGAATAAAAAAAATAAAGGCAATTTGTGTGTGTGTGTGTGTTTACAGACTGCTCTGGCTGTGGCAGAGACATCAAGAATGGCCAGGCTCTGTTGGCGCTGGGTGGCCAGTGGCACCTTGGCTGCTTCAAGTGTAAAGCCTGCAGGAAGGTGCTGAGCGGAGAATATATCAGCAAGTAAATACAATTCTCTCATAATTCTTTCCTTACCTTCCCTCATCTGAGTCTACATTTCCTAACAATAAAGTTTAGAATTAGAAATTATGCCAGCACTCATCATAACTAATACACAGAAAAGTTTTTAATATCAAAAGTCTTATCTTTCAGGGATGGTGTTCCATACTGTGAGAGGGACTACCAGATTCAGTTTGGGGTGCAGTGTGAAGCATGTCAGAAGTTTATAACTGGAAAAGTCCTAGAGGTGAGAATGAAGAGTATTTTATGTTTTAAAACGTGTTTTGAGGAGATTTTTTGAAGCAGGTCCCCACATTCAAAAGATTGAGAATCCCTGGCCTGAAGTATTATATGTTCAGTTTTGTTCTTGGTAATTAGGCCAAAGTCTGATGCTTTTGCATTTCTCATTGTCTGCTGTAGGCAGGGGAGAAACATTATCACCCCAGCTGTGCAAGGTGCAGCCGATGTTACAAAATGTTCACAGAAGGTGAAGAAATGTATCTGCAAGGTCAGTGTGAGAGAGTGCATTCATGGTGATGATATGTATTTAGGCTTGGATGAATACATGGAGTGGAATGACATGCTGTGATTTTTTTGCTATTACAGGATCAACAGTTTGGCACCCAGACTGCAGAGACAGCAACAGAACTGAGGAAGGTTACATGGTAATACCTCTTTAACTTAACATGTAACTTTATTTCTATATGTCACATGCAATTTAATGTGTCTACGAGGCAGTTTACAACTCAAGGCATGACATTACACAATATCATATCTACATAACTTCTTATAATACCTGTAAATATCCAGCTGGTGTTGCTGCTATTTAATGAGGATGTGAGTGTGATATCTGTGTGAGTCGCTGTCCTTACACATTCTCTTCCTTCCCAGGTCGGCAGACCAAAAACACCTTCTCTTGCTTTCTATTTCCCCCCACATGAACTGAAGGTTAATATTGTGAGCGGGCTCGCCGTTTGCACTGATGGGTTTCTAGTGTGAGCAGGCTGTAATCTCACACCTTGAGATTAACTGCACTCTGCTTGTTTCACATGCAACACTTTGCCCACCAGACTGGCCAGTTAGAGCTTGTGCGCTAATTCAAGGAAGCAAAAAGAAGACACTTTTGATACACAGAATAAGCTTCTTTTTTTATTTAAATGTTTCCATCCAAGAATTATAAAGACGAGATTTTAATTTGTGGAGCACCTGTACAGTATATAGTATGTGCAGTAATTACATTTTATTCAAAAAAAACAGGGGCGGAGTGAAGGGGTGGCTTAGGGGGCCTTAGCCCAAAATATTTTCTCAAAAGTCCTGAATCTTTTACCTTTGTCGCATTCAGGTAATAATGCATGTCCATGTTGTTTATCGTACTATGCTGTTCCCTAAAGACATCTAATGTAATTGATATTAAATAAATTCAGAGTATTGAAGACCACAATTACTTGGAATCGTTTGGGTGACGAGATTATTTTGTCAGGGATTCGAATATAGCAGATTTGTCAGCTGAACATTCATTCTGTGAACTCCAGCAAAGTCAAACGAAAAAGGTTTCAAGATCAGTAATGTTGCTTATGCCAATTTCTTACCTACCTATGATATGTAGCTTTAAAAAAAGTGACCATTTTTGCCTCTTTTTAGAGGCAGGAGTGGAAATGAGTCATCCTTAACATTTGTACCCCTTTTTCCACCAAATGTGTCATGTTTGACATCACGAACAGGCCGGAAAACAGAGTAGTCAACAGTAGAAAGCAGCATGGAGGACAATGAAAATGTTATGATTGCACTGCAAAACTGATAAAGTCCAATAGGTGGCGGTAGTGCAATGCATAGGAATGTTAGCCGCCATAAAATTCCACAGAAGATGAAGAAGAGAACGTGATGGTGGTGGTTCCCTTTTTTTATAGTATACATTGCTCAAAAAAAAAAGGGAACACTTAATGGTCACAGTATAACACCAGGTCAGTTAATCTTCAGGGATATCAATCTGTCTGTTCAGGAAACACAAGTCATTGTGAATCAGTTTCAGCTGCTTTGGTGCAAATGAAAGTGACAACAGGTGCAATGGAGAGGCAAAAGTAAGACAACCCCCAGTAGTGTCCTTGTCACTACTGGTAGTAGTATGAGGTGGTACCTGCAGCTCAGTCTGGTTGCAGCGGTAGTCCAGCTCCTCCACGATGGCCCATCCATATGTGCAGTCACAAGAAGGTTTGCTTTGTCGCTTAGTGCAGTCTCACGAGCATGGAGGAGATACCAGAAGACTAACCATTACATGAGGTGAGCTGGACAGGGCCGTAGAAGGGCATCAATCCAACAGCAGGACGGGTATCTACTCCTTTGTGTGAGGAGGAACAGGAGGAGCACTGCCAGAGCCCTACAAAATGACTTCCAGCAGGCTACTGGTGTGCATGTTTCTGACTACACTGTCAGAAACAGACTCCACGAGGATGGCATGAGGGCCCGACATCCTCTAGTAGGACCTGTGCTCACCGTCCAGCATTGTGCAGCTTGATTGACATTTGCCAGAGAACACCAGAATTGGCAGGTCTACCACTGGCGCCCAGACATTCTCAGGAGTGTATACAGGCATGCTGGGACCATACGCGCTACTGAGTAACATTATGAGGGTGTCGTGATAAATGTCATGATGATTTTGGTTTCCACTGTTACACCATTTTCTCCTCAACAAATTATACAATGTACATCAGTAGAGATTTCAACTTAAATACTTCGTTCATCAAGATCTAATGTGTTCGCTTCATTTTTTTTGAGCAGTGTATCTCTTACCTAATCAGTCTCGGCTTAAAATGTGGCACAGGCTCATTTGGAACGACGTTTGAGCGCTGCTTGGGCGGAGATGAATGGTATTTTGTGGTGGGGCGTCATTGCATCTCACCAGTAAAAGGGGCTAAAATTAGCACATTCACCTGGGTGTTGGATTCCCATCACTGCTGATCAGAGTCAGGGCCAATGAATACCCGTGACTACTGCAGAGACATTTGACCCAGGTGTGAATGTCAATTGCTGTCTTTCCATTACATACAAAAGCTGGATGTTAGCGGGTGTTAGTGGGTTTTTAGAAGGGGCTTCACATACAAAACAGGATGTAGGCTCTACCTTGGTTTGGGCTGAGCCTTGAATGTACAATGTCTGGCTCCGCCCCTGTGTATAACATGTGAAAAACAACTTAGGAATGTAATTTTGGTGTTGACCTTGCATGCTTGGCTGTGTTATATACTGCCACTGCCATGTACTTGTACCTGCACAACTTTTAGTACTATACACCAACGTGTGTTAGTGCTATGCAAAACAAAAGTCTGGCTGAAATAAAGGACGTGACAATGCACAAACTGCATGATGCCAGGCCTACACTGCACACCGCTGCATTATGATACCTCGTGTTTGCTTTTACCCACATGAGAGACAGGGAAACTAGACCTGATATGACAATGGAAGCTGCCTATCAACACCTGAGCTTGAGCAGGAAGTGATGTCAGACTAACCCAGCTGTTTTTTCTTCCCTGTAGCCCACCAGATCATCATCTGAAAGCTCCTGCTCCAGGCCAGGCTCGTGCACTCCAGGCAGTCCTGGTCGAACCATCTGTGTAAGTCCTGGTGACGACATCACCACCTTCCATGGTGCACAATTCACCGTGGCTTGATTTACATTTCATTTATCCTTTATTCATACAGGGGAGTCGCATGGACAAAGTGTCCCTCTTGCAAGATGTGTCTTTTTATAAATGATGGCAAACCTTTAGGACAATAGCCAATGTGGAAAAAAGACCTTAAAATCAATCTGTAAATATATTTTTTTCAACTTTACCTTGACTGATCGGAACTAGTTTTATCTTGTGAGAGCAAAACGTGATTTCAATTGTGGTTGAATGATGAAGAGCCTTCAAATTGTTTTCAAGTCAACCACATATTGAACAGGAATTTAGATTTATTTGCTTCATCAATTTGAATTCATCTGCAATTCAGATTGAGTATGATTATAAAAACAACTTGGTGCTTTCGGTGTCCTTTTGTTTCCTCCGTCCAGTCTATTATGACCCATAGGTTGTTGGTTCATTGTGTGGAATAAAGAAACTTTAATCCCATTAAAACACCACAAACTATGAGCCATAAACTATTTACCTGTTTTATACTTGAATACTTGAGAAATAATTTACGTAGTGAATCTGAAATAGGCCACAGATTATAACGTTAACCTTCCTTCATGTGCCAAAGTCAAAGCATTGAGATGGTGCGGGATTAAAGCTTCATTCCTCCCTGACGTCATGTAATGAGCAACCTTTGACCTCTCACCTGACGTAACCCATGCTGTCTGCTCCTTCTATCTCTCAACCTCTGTGTCCTTCACCCCCCCCCCCCCCCCCCCCCCCCCCCCCCCCCCCCCCCCCCCCCCCCCCGTTCTGGTCCCAGGCAAAAGTTGATAACGAGATCATTGATTACCGAGACTTAGCAGCCATTCCCAGAGTCAAGGCTATATATGATATAGAGCATCCTGATATGATATCTTATAAGTCTGTGAACGGCAGCTCCTCTACTTTGGACAACAAGGGCAACAGACAGGACAGGCAAAGCCCTGCAGAGGTAACTCCATTCAATGCTCCGAGTTGTATCTGGTAACATGTTTGTGTGTCATTGTTTCAGTGTTATCTTTCTCTTGGTTTGATTTATGAGTCAAACCAAGTAAAGCTTTGTTTCGCTGTTCTGAAATTTGACTGTGTTTGTGAGAAAATGCAAAGACATATATTGCGAAAAATGATCATATATTTTTTTTAAGTGTGTTTCTGGGTTATAACTTTTCCACCTTAACAAAACACTTACAATATTTAGTCCAGATCTAGGCTGATATACAGGATATTATAAAAGCCCATTTCCACCAATTTCAAGTCATTATTATGGGAAACTTTTTCAAAATAATAACTTAGTAGTTCAAAAATAATTAAGTATCTCAAAATAATAAGAAACAATAATAACTCCGTATTTTGAGAAACTATGTTATTTTGCGGTATGAAGTAATTATTTTTGAGATACATAGTCATTATTTCCAGATACTAAGTCAGTGTTCGGAGACACTAAGTCACTATTTTGGGATATTAAGTCATTGTTATGAAGTACTAAGTCATTATGTGATACTAAGTCATTGTTTTGAGATACTGAGTCATTGCTTTGAAATATTAAGTCATTGTTTTGAAATATTAAGTCATTGTTTTGAAATAATAAGTCATTGTTTTGAGATACTGAGTCACTGTTTTAAGAAACTAAGTCATTGTTTTGAGACAAAAAGTCATTATTTTTGAGATACTATGCCATTATTTCCAGATACTAAGTCATTTTTTTGTGATACTAAGTCATTATTGTGAGATATTAAGTCATTATTTTGAGATACTATGTCATTATTTCCAGATACTAAGTCATTTTTTGTGATACTAAGTCATTATTTTGAGATATTAAGTCATTGTTTCATGATACTTAGTCATTATCATTTTTATTAAGTCATCTTATAGAGATAGTAAGCCATTATTTTGAGATACTGAGTCACTGTTTTGAGATATTAAGTCATTGTTTTGAAATACTAAGTCATCTTATTGAGATACTAATTCATTGTTTTGAGATACTGAGTCACTGTTTTTGATATATTAAGCCATTCTTTTGAGATACTAAGTCATTATTTTGAGATATTAAGTCATCGTTTTGATATACTAAGTCATTTTTTGAGATACCAACTCATTGTTTTGAGAAAGTAAGTCATTGCTTTGAAATGCTATGTCATTGTTTTGAGATGTTAAGCCATTGTTTCGAGATACTAAGTCATTATCTTGAGATATTAAGTCACTGTTTTGAGGTACTAAGTCATTATCTTGAGATATTAAGTCACTGTTTTGAGGTACTAAGTCATTATCTTGAGATGTTAAGTCATTGTTTTGAGGTACTAAGCCATTGTTTTGAGACACAGTCATTATTTCGAGATAATAAGTAATTGTTTTTGAGATACTAAGTCATTGCTCTGAGACACTAAGTAATTGTTTTGAGATACTAAGTCATTATACTGAGATACTAAGTCATTATTTTGTGAAAGTTTTTCATTATAATGACTTGCAGGATCTTTCTTTTTTATCACATTGCTGGAAATGGACATTTATAGTATACTAAGAATCTGGCTGAGACTTTTATGGAGAGCAGCTTATAATACTATCAGAAAATGTTTGCATACTTAGTATTGTTTTTTAATGTTTGTTGCTATTTACTGTGTCACTGAGCGTTAATTAATGATCTGCGCCAGGCTACTGAGAACAATAAAAAACACTACACTTAAAAAAAAAACACAAAACACTAAAGGTACCTTTATAATGTAACCTTTTTGTTTCCTACTTTCCATGTCTGTCTTCATGTGAAAACCTCACAAGTCTAACTTTGTTGATTTTTCAAATTCAGCTGAAAGATTAAAGAACTGATGATATTATACATGTCTTCCTTTTATGACATATTTTCAAAGATGCGTAGTGGTTAGAATAAGGTCGCTTCCTTTTTCATTTTAGACAAGCTTGGAGATACAAGGTTTTCACCTGAAATGTCTGGTGTATGTTGTGTTTCTCTTTTGTTCATACATTTATTTTTTTTCTTCTGTCGTTCTGGTTTAGTCACCAGGAAACGTATCTGAAACCACAGAGGTAAATATGTGTTTTAATGACCAACCCCCCCATTAAAGCCAAAATTATTTAACACTTATTGACACTTATTACTTTTAATTTGTTTTGCATTTCACACTGGTTTTGTGTCCTCTTTCCAGGAGAGTTTTGAAGTAAGAAAGTGCATACCAAAATCATCAAGCCATGGATCTTTTCATGCAAAGTACAATCGTCACAGCTATACTCCAAGTCTGTCCAGATCACCGCAACACTTCCACCGACCAGGTGAGAAAAGCGCACGAAAGTAAGATTACCTCAATCTTCTTATCACCTCTGTGAAGATATTAGCCTCCCTCTGCTCACATTTCCTTTGTTTTATCACCGTCCCTTATCTCCTCTACCTCCACAACTCCCACCTTCACCTCTATCCTGGAATAACAACCAGGACTGATGCTTTCACCCTCTCTATCCTCTGGCAACAATGACACATGCCCCACTTCCCCTTTATTTCATCACTTTCTCCCTCACGCCAAAGGTAAGGATCCCTGCTCTTCTGACACCCTTTTCTGCACCCCCTCTCCCCATCCTTTAGCTTTTGTTATCTTTTATATTTCTCATCAAACACTTACATTTACTAGCAAACCCATCACTTTATAGTCTAAACTGCAGGGACTGTGGTCAGGCTGAAGGTGCAGAGTTGGACTATATAGGGAGGTTGGCGCAGAGATGTGATTCTCTTTATTGTCAGATGCACTGAGCCATCTAGTGGTCAAAGATCAGAGACTGTCGGCCGCCCACTCAGACTCTTTTCATATCCTATTTTACTGTAGGAGACAGCACAGCAGTCTGTTTGACATACAGAAAACACACACTGTACCATTAATTTTGAGCATGCATTTTCTTTCCTGTTTTTCTACCTTCTTTTCCCACCGCTCCCTAAAATCTTTCACTAAAAAAATAATCCGTCATGTAAATCTAGATCAAAGGAGGTATTTATAAAACTGGTTTGATTGATTAAATAAGTAGATATTCTTGTGCCTGTTCCCGACTTCACCCTCAGCAGCCGTGACTATTTATAGCAGCGCTGTGATTTTTCTAAAGAGTGTTTTATCGTGTGTGTATGTGTATGTGTATGTGTGTGTGTGTGTGTGTGTGTTTGAGATATGACAAGCTCTGACCAGTAATCGCTGGCATGTGTTTTTTGGTTGGAACTGAATATCACTCACAACCCACTAACAATTCACACAGCCTTGATTGTAGTCATTTTATTTAGAGTCTTTATATTCATTGATTTGGCACGTTAGAGTCTTAAAATGATTTCGATGATCATTTCTGAAACTCCACAACTGCATGAAATTAAAGTGTATGTTAGAAAACGTTTACGGCACTTGCTTTTTGTAAATGTGCTGCACACTCATTATGGCATCACCTTTCTGCACGGCTGGCCGGTTTTTCTTTTTTCTTTTTTTAATTATAAGTGATGTAAAGGTCACTACAGTTATTGTACACGAGATTAACCTTTTGGGAATTTTTTGAGTGAGTGAGAGTTACATACATAGATCAGGGCTGTTATCACCTATTCAAAATAGGGAGGGACTATTCTCACCATACACCCATGTGACCTAATCCTTAAGGAGAGGTTTGGAGGAGGAGACATTTTTAGAAACTTAACAGCTAAACTGACCATTTTAAAGCGCTTTGACACAAAAATCATAGATCAGGGGACCTTAAAGTTTTGATGACTGAGGGGGAGCAAGCATATGACTGAGGAAAAGTGCACACACTATGACTTTTTCCATGGCAGACTATACTATTAAATTTTTTATGACATACTAACACTTGACAAAAACAAAAACAATTGACAATGAGTGCGTTTACATGCACACTAATAAACCGATCATTATCTGATTTCTGGAGTTACCTGATTATTCAAGTGGTCATGTAAACAGCATAATCCAATAGGCTTTATCAGATAAAAGCCATTATCTGATTATGAGAAATCAGATAAACACATCTAGCTTTTTCCCCAATAGTCAGATTATTCGGTGCATGTATACCCTTTAATCTGGTTTCTTTCGGGTTTTGCTATTTTATACTCCCACTCCACTACATTTTAGAGGGAAATATTGTACTTTCAACTCCACTACGTTAATCTGACAGCTTTTGTTTCCTTTCAGATAAAGATTTTACATAAAATAATATGTTTTTATATTCTCAGTGTTTAAATTGTCACTTTTATTTTATCTTACTTATATGTTATGCACTTTGTGTGACACGTTTATATACAATACACTTGTATATTGCACTTTGCAGTACTTTTACTCCGAATCTACCCAAAGTATGTAAAATTGGCTCCACATTGATAAACTACACATTAGAATGCTCTCACATGTATTTGTTAATGATAAAAACAAACAGTACTGTAAGAATATAAACTGTCAGCATGATGAGTGCTTTATTCTGCAAATATATGACTTGCATACTTTTCAAGGTTTTTCAAGGATATGAGTACCTACTGTAACAGGAAGTTTGAGTTTTATGTCATGTACTTGGGGAGAAATCCAACTGAAGGACTGAATCATGTAAACCAGGTTTTTCTGATTATCAGATTATTGAAGTGCACGTAAACGCGGTAAGTTTTACTAACAGTATATAACATTATGCTATTTCGATTCTGCTGTGTGATATTTAGAAATTAATTATTTGCTGATGCTGCTTTCTTTTCTATCAGCAGACGAAGGCTTCAACATGTACAGGAGGCCTCCAATTTATAAACAACAAGGTACAATATGAGCTTTTTTTTAACCTTTCAAACCACTAAACAAACAATAATCATGAGCAATATTTTAACCACTGAATTTTATTGTTTTTATTTATTTTGTTATTTGGTATTATAGCTATTATATAGCTGTGTGTATGTCATGTTTTATCTGCTTTTAAAAGCACTAATGGAGTGGCACCTGTAATCTTATTATATTCAATATATAATGACAACAAAGCTTTCTATATTCTATATTTAAGTTCATTTTAACACTATAGTTAAATCTTATTTTTAAAGCTACTGATCACTACCTCAGTTGTATCTTCTAAAATTATATGTTTGTTATTCTTGTACATTGTTACACTGATTTCTTCTCATTGTCTGAAATATACTTATGAGATTTTGTTATAAATGTAAAAATAGAGCAATACTAAGAAGTCGGTTTTACGGAACAATTAGCAAAAGGCTAAAAATAAAATCCAGCGAGGTATATTCTACTCAGTAAGTCTGATCTAATGTTGGCAAAGAGCCAAGTCTGACTGTAAGCCGCCTCACGGTGAGCTAATCTGTCTGCTGTTTCACTTTCACACATAGATCCAAATTCCTCCACATCCCAAACAACCTCTTTGCCTGGATACGGTCGCAATGGCCTCAATCCGGTAAGAGCGACATCACTGATAACGTACTCTCTCTCTCTTTAGCATTGTTCTGTAAAGCTAGTAAGTGACATTCCTGTAGTTCAGTAGGTCCAGCCAGCTTCCTGGGTTGTTTATATTTCACACACTAAATGAGGTTTGTCCATCTTACAGCACTTTAATAGATTTAATGTTTCCTCTGTTTTCCTTCTTCTCATGAAGCCACGGTCAGCTGATTTCTACCATTACAGCAGCGACAGATTCAGAGGTACATAAGTAGACATTTTTATTATTTACCATGGATGTCGTTCATCACTATAATATTAACTCAGTAAACAATTCTCCAGAAATTAATTTGTTTTGCTTCTTCTTTTCCTTTTCCCCTGCTTTTCAGACTTTAAGGTACGTGAGAAGAACTTTTTATGATCTCAAATCCTCTCCCTGTTTGCTTTACTGCACTTCCAAAGACCTGACCTTGACTCACTGTCTGCATGAGCATGTTTTATCAAATACACATTCAACTCAGTTTCAATTCAAAATTCTTAACCGCACATTTTATAAATATACTTTATTTGCAGTAACTTCAAGTGTTTAATCCCGCCATCAAATTTTTCCCATTGCATGTGTTTGCTTCACCCCATAGCTCCATGACGGTCATCCATTAGCACGAATGGACAGAGGAGTTTCTATGCCTAATTTGTTGGAACCAAAAGCAAGTATTGTTTTATATATCCATGTGGTACTAGAGGAGAGCTCTCACAACCCAGTCACCAGAGTAAAATGTTGGCATTCCTGCAAACATATATAGATATGTTTCACTTGTACATTTCATATGTATGTTATCAACATTTTTAAAGTGATGCAGTTCAGATAGGAGCATAAGGAGGAGGATGTGATGGCGGATGGTGTGAGACCTTTGGGTATTTTTTGACAAGAGTTCCTGACATTTCCAGCTGCGTTTGTAGCAAACAAAACATGATCTTTACCTACCCTGACCAAGTGTTTTTTGTGTCTAAACCTAATCTTAACTGCTATATGTAGGAAACTGGACTTGCTTGAGTTTCTTGAAGACGTTTCGTCTTGCATCCGAGGGACTTCGTCAGTTCTAGAAACTGGTGCGGAGTCACAGGCTTTAAACTCTGTCTGGGTGTGAACCCTTACAGAGGCATTGAGATCGCTGACCCACTCATCGGTGAAGATTCTCAGTCATCCAGGTCATGGTAATCTTAGTGCTATATCGTAGGCAACTGAACTTTCTTGAGTTTCTTGAAGACATTTCGCCTCTCATCCAAGAAGCTTCTTCAGTTCCGTAGAACTAAGAAGACCTTTACATCACTTATAAGAAGCTTCTTCAGTTCCGTAGAACTAAAGAAGCTTCTTGGATGAGAGGCGAAATGTCTTCAAGAAACTCAAGAAAGTTCAGTTGCCTACGATATAGCACTAAGATTACCATGACCTGGATGACTGAGAATCTTCACCGACACATCTAAACCTAACCACACAGTGTTATCGCAAAACAAAACTGAAAATTGAAGCGTAAAGTTTCTGCAACATATGAAATGTACAAATGTGACTTATCCATGGTTTACAATGCCGACATTTATTCTGACGATTGGGTTTTCAATGCCAAGTCTTATGTTCTGTACTGTACCTATAAGCACCTTTGAAAGATTGCATGCAAGAATAACAATAATGCATACAAACGACAGCATGCAGTTTTCAAGGACGACTTCATCATCACCCTTTCTTTATGACAGCATTCGTGAAAATACATTGAGTGTTTAGACAAAAGCTAAAACAAACAAGGTTGTATGTTTTTCCCTGCAGGCTAAAGCACTGCTAGTACAATATAGACTACTACTATGCATGACAACTGTGAGGTGGTTATACAAGATACATATTTGCACGGTACACAGTGTTCTAACTCCATCTCGTGTCTCCATAGTACGTAAGAGGGTTAGGGCCACAAGAATAGTGTTTTTGAATAAAGTCAAAATTTTTGGCCCTAATCCACTTCCGTGTAATATCTCATAGTGTAAGCGTACAGAAGGTTGTGTTTAGGTGTAGCGTGTGTGGTGATCACCTCATAAAGCATTCTCAACCAGTCTTTGTTTCATGAAGGTCTACCCATATGAACTGCTCGCCGTTAACAGTAGAGGACGAGTGAAGCTTCCCAAGGATGTTGACAGAACGAGACTGGAGGTAGAGTAACTTGAGAAAAGAATGTGATGCTTCTTTTTTCTTTACACGGAACAGACTGTTACGCTGAAAGGTTTTCCTTAAAAGAATAAGAAATGCAACAAAGAACAAAAATATGCAGCTTTTCTGCAGCTCACTTCATCCTTTCCTGCTTTCCTTTGCAGCGTCACCTATCCCCGGAATCATTCTTTGAGATCTTCGGCATGGACTTTCAAGAATTTGACTTACTTCCACTGTGGAAACGTAACGACATGAAGAAGAGGGCGAATCTCTTCTAAAATCTGCCTAATGCCTGTTGTGACTCGTTGATAATCTGCAGTAGGCTACATGTCAAGTCCTGATGACCCTCCATGTTTATTTCTTTGCATTTTGACACAAATTAGACTTTTTTTGTTTTGCCTCAAACTGGACACACTGTTTTGTTTCCCAGTTAATTCTATAGGCTACTGTGATGAATAATGTTTAAATGTGATACCTCAAAGCAGATATGAACACGAGAACTCAACTTGCTATACTCTTTGCTAATAGATAGCCATTATTATTTTGTATTTCTCAAGTCTCCCCAGAGATTACATTCATATTGGACAATTCACCTGTGTGCAATTTATCTCCATTCACCGTAAATGCAACAGTTAGTGTGGTATTTTTCAAGGCATGCCCAAAAGTGAAGAGTATAAAGAAGGTAATCTTTGATGCCAGAGACCAGAGAAGCTGACCTTTGTGACATTCACCAGACAATCTTTCCGTTACCCATAACCTGAGCTTAACCTCTGGTTAAACTTTAAACGGTGTGCTGCTGTAATGTTTTCACTCAACTCATGGCGGAACCAGAGCAGCAAAATGCTCATATTTCACTGAGAAGTGATTGTGCAAAACACTGGATCTTTATCAATGACAACGTTTTTGAGGGGATTGAATGTTTTTTGAAATAATTTATTCTTAAAATATCTGCACATGGCAGCGACAAGATGGATAAGGTTAGGCAAATTATGGATGCAGCTTGAAGTTAAATTACAAGAATGGATCAACATTTATGGGACAAGGTTGTATTTTTCTGCTTGCCTTCTGAAAATGAAAGAATTCTTGATTTCGGATTTATGGCATTGAAGTCTGAGGTGTTGATGTCCTGTTGTGTAGCTGGTAAAAGTGAGTTTGTCCTGATTAAAAGCCTTTGTAGATCATTATTAGTACCCCTTACCGAACAGTACGTCATTATACCTGATGTATGGTGCAGTGATTGAATACTGAATGCATTTGACCCCTGATGTCGTTGTTACTCCTATATGATATCATATTTTTGTCACTCTTGACTCTCACTTCGTTGTCTCCAAATGTCTGAGCACAAAACTGAAAAGAGTACATGTTTAAGAACTGTACTTTTATGTTGCTACATTATCCCTGAAATGTTTGTTATTGGAAACATTTGATGTTTTTCCCTGTGTTTTATCTTTACACTGCTGTCCCAGCACACCACCTCCAGAGTCCTAAATAAAACCTTGCACTTCTTACAAGTTGAGTGAATTATTGTCTTTATTGACAGGATGAATGAGGTTGTGTATGCAAGGGCGTAGATTTCGTTTCAATATTGGGGGACACTCATATGGTCCTCTGCTAGAAAATGTTGAGCATCAAACACTTAATTTTTGGCATTCAGATGAGTTTTATGCACCAATTTGTGCTTTTTCCTGCATCAATAATGGTGTTACTTTTGTCCAAATTAAGGCTCTCTGCTACTTTTGTGTTTTTATTTGAAGAGCAGACACACGTGTTCTAAACGTTATTGAGGGAGGCGTGTCCCCTGTGTCTCCTCTGAAATCTACACCTATGTGTGCAAATGTGATGAGGTTATTTTGAAGCCATTATTTTCTGCATAATTTAAGGTTTGGTTTGGTACATCTCCAGCAACAAGCTCAAAGTGCAGATCATTAATTTGGAAAAATAGAAATTATGAGACTAATATGAGTCTTCCTATGATGGCAAACATTCTTGATCTGGGGTGCGTTCCAATTGGCATACTTTTGTTTTTTACTTTTAGTATGTTCTGCAGCTGCCCTTAAAGACTATATACGGTTGTATGCAGTATGCACACAATCGGGTCGTACTACAGTCTCATAACATTTCGCCCTGAACTTTGACCCTCTTGCTTTTATATCATTACCTTGGCGAGGTAACGTGACTCACTGAGTAGAGACGGAGATCAACCTGAAGGGCTCTGCTTTGCAATGTCATAGCTGCACAGATTGTAGATTCAAACTAATTTGTGACAGTGAAATTACATCTGCAGTTCTCTGTCGTTGTCATTTTTATAGTTATGTCCTATATGATTATTTTGTTTATTTAAACGTTTTTTTACATGAACTTTTATTTATTTTCTCAACAAATAGAACATCAACATCATAACTCACACAACTGCAAGGGTACTTAAACTGGGTAGGAAAAGAAATGGAAATGGAGGGTTTTTGTGTGTCTTAGTGAGATGTGGGTCTGCAGGTTAAACGGGACAGAACAGAAAGAAATATTGGTCGATTCATGTTGCTTCTGGAGTCCGTCTCAAGATTCTTGGAAAAGTAGGTATTTTACGAACAGTAAGAAGAAACACAAACGTTAGAAGCTGCTCCCTCCATGGAGATCATCTCTAGAAATGACTGAAGCCACAGCTCCTCTTTCAGCTGGGCTGTTGCTAAGTCTTTAAGCCGTCATGCATCCAGTTGTTACAGTTTATGTATTGTGTTTCCTTGAACAGTATAATTCAAAAGACTCAGTGCTGGGTCACAGTGAACAGCGTAGCCAATCATTTTTCCCAGGGATTGCATAATTTGTATTTAAACAATTGATATTCCTATTATTACTATTGGACTGGTTACTTGGTCATTGCGACCTCCTACAGCTGTCAATCTGCTGTCAAACAGCTGTTCATCTGTTTACGGCTCAGCTGATGTGACGTATCATCCGCTGCGCAGAGGATTGTGGGTCAGAATAGCCAGTAAAGCATGCTGGCTTGCATACTGCATAATCTGACCGGATGCAGGAAAACATCCTGGTATTTTTGGCATACTGTACTGAACATGAATTGGGACATGTTAAATCTTTTTCTGTGATTAATACATTGTTTGAAATATAATCTTTTCTATGAAATAGCTAAAATTTCAATTACTACCTGACTTTCATGTCTACCTGTCAAAGTCAGGAGACATAAGGGCCAGTGTAAGAGAGGAATTATGTTTATTATACTTATTTTTTTCTTTTTTAAAATCTTTTTTAACCCATATAAACTTTTCATAGTTTCAAACGACTTTCAAAATAAGTTCTTTTCCATTATGAATAGCTTTGAGAAAGTAAGTCTGCTGCTGTTTCCTAGCAACACAACTCCAGTGAAATGGTCTGCTAAATATGAGACATTTGTCCATCAGTAATATGATAGAAGTCTCTCTCTGACCCCAACTATTGCATTCATTTAAATAATTTAAAAATTGTCTGGCCAGAGCAATAATTTTATTTTGGTTTGGGAGATTTTCGTCAACAGCTTCAGGCTGTAAACCTGCATCATGTTTATAAAGGATGTTAGTGGTGGATAATCAAAGTACATCAGTCTCCATGCTCACCTGTATCAGGAGTTCTAAAAGTCTTCCAAGACTCTTCATAACATCTTGCTAAATTTCCATTATTTCAATAGTGTCATGAGATAAACTGCTTATTGTTGTGAAATAAATAGTCATTTGATTTTCTAGTGTGTCTCTTGCTAAGTTTCCAGAAGTCAGGTGGTGTACCAGTACACTGCAGAGCATGACAGCATTTTCCAAACCTCACAGCATTGAGCAACACATATTTTCAGTCATAAAACCAGCCATGTGGTGGGAAAAATATTGCAAAATTCCCTGACTTAACTTCATCTGCTATCTATCACTCATACATTCCTATTTGATTTGGCTCTGAAGTATTTGTACAACATGTTTTCTTTTTTTTTCCTTTTTCCATCTCTAAATGTGACTCAGTCTTGGGAGCAGCCATTGGAAATGTAAGGCCAACAGATGGTGCTCTGGAGCCTGGAATCAAAGCATCTCTTCGGGATTGCTGTCCATGTTTGAAATGACAAGTTGCCAGGGTTTGCTTAAACTTAAACTTATAAACGTATTTGAGCAGTATGTTTGAGACATTGTTTTTCTTTACTTGCATCTATCAAGCTGGCATACAGTAGTAGTAGTATAAAAAATAGCCTTCATCATCAGTCCCTTCCTTTTTAACTCACTACATAAGCCCCAATAACAACACAGATAGGATAATGTACATACATGCTCTGCTTCTGTTATTTAGTATTCACATCATGTCATCAAATCTGTTGAATTTATTGATTCTATGAAGGTGTAATTTGCATAATGTTACAGAGTTTTGTGTCATGTTATGTACATACATAGCCTTTGAGATTTAAGAGTGATGTAGCGGACTTTGTTAGCCTCATGGATGTATTACTGACCAGGTCTAAAGCGGACAGGCCCTGGGACACAAAGCATCAGCCTCCCTCCCTCTCCATGGCCCATACCTACAAAAGTTCACTTAAATTCACACATACTAACCAAGAAGAGACTCAAAATGACCAAATAAGATGCAAAATTACCTCACAAACCACCAAAATATGTGTAATGACTACAAAACACACAAAACAACAGCAAAAGCAGGCAAAACCACCACAGAGTCTGTGTCTTGCGCCTACGTAGAAGAGGTGGTGCCTTTTTTGTATCTGTGCCCAGAGGCCCATTCTCTCATAATCCGTCCATGGCTAACCTATTCTCATTTGTTTAATAGTAGGTCATGGTGGAATGTTTTGTGTTTTACTTGGTGCATTTTATGGCCTGAGACTTTTGCATGCACACACTTCATTAACGGTCAAATAATCATGTTGGTAACATGTTAATCTTAACCAAGTAGAGCCTCAATTTAGGGACTGTACTTAAGTTATCAGAGGAGGGGGGTGGCTTTATTATCATTAACATTATTAATATTTCATCTTGACTCTCCCCGAAGCTACAATATTTTTCCTTAAGCTTCCTTGAGCGACTGGGCGATAATGCGTGACCTCCTCTTAAAAAATATCAAAAAAATAGAAGTTACAGTCACACCAAATGTATGTATGGAACCAATGCCACGAGTAAACAGCACAGGAGTGAGAGTTATCACTAAAACAAACACCTAATTTCTTCAGCAAAATGCAAATCCTCCTTAAAAATAACGAGGTTTTTGCAATTTTTCAGCTATGATAAATGGTTTGATTTTGGTGATTTTTAAAGAAAACGTGCCCCTCATCCATGCCAGCAGGATTTGGGGTTTAAAGACTATTTAACATAAATAAAATACAACCATTTAAAGTTGTATGTCCCTACCCTAAGTCAAAATAAAATAAAAAAAACACAAGTCCATCCCCAGTGCTTAAAAAAATTTCCTGAGATGCCTCCCTTGTTTTGCACCCCCCTGGCCACCCTCACAAGTAGAGTCCCTTAGCATGTGTCACTTTCATCTGAGGCAACACTTTCTGACAGCTGAACAGTTGAATTTTTCAGTGTTGGAAAAACAGACATAATAATCTTTTCTTTTTTGATTTCTTGTCCTGTTATTGTGGATTTCAAAGATTAGCACACCACTTACAAAAGCAAAAATATCAGCTAAAGAAATAACCTCTACTGCCTGAATAAATGCAGCCTGTCTGTTCAGCTTGGGCTGACAAATATTAGCTCAGACTAACATTAATAACATACATGGAAGTTGGTTTTTGTTATCATGGGCTCTTTAAAGCCCACCTAGCTTGAGTGAAAGTATTGGAGTATTTCCAGGCTTTCTATTGGACAGTTAAAAACATAGCCTACAGTGTGGGCGTGTCGACGTATTTGATTGGTCGAAGCTGCTGTCACTCAGGGTCCACTCTCTCCTAAGCCCCTCCCACCCCCTCCACCGACCGCTTGTGCGGCCCAGGCGAGGATTTTCACGAAAACATCAACCGCAGACTGCGTACCAGTGCCAGCGGGACCCGACGCTATGGATCCAACGGCATGACAGCCGAGTCGATGGCGGTTTCAAAGTTGGATAACGGTGTTCGGTCTTGAAGAGAGACGTTAGAAGCGTGAAACAGATTTAACGGTAATGAATGCGGTATCACTTGTTTGATAGAAAGACAGAGAGAGAGCGAGAGAGAGAGAGGGAGAGAGAGAGAGAGGGGCCAAAGTGGACTCCCTCCCTCGGTAGAGCCGTTCCGCCCGATGGAGGCTGACGGGACCTTTGCAGTGAGCTCCAGGCCCGTAATGTCACCTGTGAAACGTCGACACCTCGTCGGAGGACGTAATTAAGGAAACCCTCGCGCACACCTGTCTGAAGACTTCATTTGACAACTTCGTAGCGAGCCTGTGTACAGCAACTAAAGTTAGCAGGTCAACGTTAGCTGCGGGAGGCGACCCCCTCGCGCAACATGACTATCATAGATATCACTTAACGAGAGGTTACTCACCGCCTCAGGTAACACGGGACAGGTGAACAACGAGCTGTTTAACGGACTTCTTTCTGCTCATGTTTTAGAAAGTTGCCTCGTTATATTTCACCAGCTGCACGTTGACTCCAACTCACTTGGCTTGGCTCGAGCATACAAGAACTTCTTTTTTTTTTCTCCTCATCAAGTGTCGTCTTCTCCGTCAGCCATGTCACTCAAAGACAATCCGTGTCGCAAGTTTCAAGCCAACATCTTCAACAAAAGTAAATGCCAGAACTGCTTCAAGCCCAGAGAGTCACATCTGCTCAACGACGAAGACTTAAATCAGGTGAACACTTATCTTCAAACATTGGTCATTTCACACTCATGATATTGTCTGAGTAACCTATATTAATGCTACAGTTTGATGTGCACACTTAAAACGGTTTGTCATGTGCCAGTAGACCATGAAGTGCAAAGGTCAGGTTAATTGGACATAATTAGTTTCCAGCCCAAGGGCGCATATTGACCTCAATTCATACAGATATAGGTCTCCACACAGCCCCATGTCTTCCAGCAGAGTAGCCTCCTATCATCTACTTTTGTTGAGTCATTTAGGTTACAGTTATGTCTGTGAAATCTTATTTTAAAATGTCCTTTTGGCTTCTTGCCTTGGTCATTGCTACACTGTTAGAAAGTTCACTCCTATAAGAACTGGAGACAGATATTGCTATGTTTCATTACCATGTTAAAGGTCCAGTATGCAAGTCTGGAGAAACATAGTTGCTCGTAAAGTGTCATTCCCAGGTTGTCAAAAAAACAACATTTTGGGTGGTGGTTCGGTCCGACTGCCAACCCAAAGAGTCTGTATTTGACGCAATTGAGACTCAACTTTCTTCACAAGGTGTACCTCCTGCTGGACTACTATGTTGATATTGGCAGGTTGTGAATGGTGGCATCAGGGCACGCTGAACTCTTTTGGCCTATACCGTGATACTTCCCTTTGGTAAGCTGTTTAACGGCACAGGTTAAGAGCCACCAGTGTCAGGTTGTTTTATATGAATGACACCTCTGTGACTCAGGCGACTAACATCGGGCTGACATTGCGTGTATAAATGTTCCTGTAAGTTCCTCCATCATGACCAATGGTTTCTCCGTTGGGGTGGAAATAGTCTTGAAGTTATTTGTCTTTCTTAGTGGAATTTCTAACCCACTGGCTATCAGCCTTATCCTTTGAGGACTGCACCCAGTTAAAGGTTATCAATAGCAGTCAGAGGTTGAAGACCTGCGACAGGCTGGCTATGATCTTTATTGTTTGAGTCCTACTACAAGAAGATACTGAACCTCATCCTGTCATTTCTTTTGCCGTCCCACCAATTGCCCACCCAAAGCCCCACACAATTGGTGCAGTATAGTTATCTCTGATGTGGGGTAGTAATACGTTGAGGAGGTGCACCTCCAAATGAACTCACGCAAACACACTCAAATGGCTCTGTTTAACCGCTGAACCGTTGAAGGGTGAAAAATGACCTAGATTCATCTCGTCTATTTCTCTCTCCCTTGGGAGGACTTGCCATCCGGGCTCCTGTCGGGTCATGTGAGGAGAGATGGGACATTTTGCGAAACGCTGCTCAGTCTCAGTGTTTCTCCTTTGGGCTTTAGACTAAGGCAAGAAGGAAGCTAGTGTCCCGGTATAAGTGCGATTCCCTCTCGAATCCCATTATCAACAATTAAAGGTGCCATACCTGTGTGTCACTGCTCAGGTTGTCTTTCAAAAGCAAGGATGTTGATGCTCTTGCAACCCTGCACAAACTCTTGACTGTCCGAGGTTAGAGTCAGAACTTCTGATTGAAAATTCCTCTTATGTCATTTTGTTTACAAAGCCACTGAGCTGAGAAATATGCTGTACCTCCTGTAATCAAAGCAAAAGAGGATTTTATGGTGGATTATACTTGGCTTTACATGGGATGAAGTTATGACTGTAATCAAAACCACTGACAGAGGGACACAGAGGTGCCAGGCGGCTGTAAATGTCAGAGCTTTTCGACTTGATTTGTAGAGTATTGCTCCACAGACTTGGGAGTGCTGTTGGATTACGTAACATAGTTAATTTGTTAAGCTCTTTAGGTGTATGTAAGAATCGAGTGTAAACATATTAAGTGAAATTTGTGCTCCCGTTCACACAACCCTGCAGTGGTTATGCAGGGCTTTTTTGGCTCGGCAAACAAGTGCTGACTACTAGTATGGCGAGAATTCAAGTACGCACCAGAACGATTTAAGAAAGACTGCCAGGACGACTTGCATTTCTCAGCGCAAGTTTGAATTGCAAATCTGCAGCCACAAAAGCTCCCAGGCTCTGTCTCTCTCTCTGCTTCTCTCTCCTGCTTCTCATCCACTGTTTTTCTTGCTAACTTCTGCCTCTTGCTGCCCCCCCTCCACCCACCAGTCCACCCACTTAGAGGATCAGAGAGAAAATCATGTGTGTTAGCCTTTCCTTTTTTTCCAGGGCAGCATGGTGCTCTGGAATACAGCCAGCTGGAGAATGTAGCCTGCAGTCAACTCAAGGCAGCTAGTGACTAATACACACCTTCCCGGAGTTTAACTCAAATATGTGTGTGTGTGTCCGTGTAATTCTGTCTCACATTGGGACACAATTTGAAGCCTAAACTAGTGACTAGCCTCTAGTTACAGCTGCAGTGGATTCAAATGTGCACAATTGAACTGTTAATCAATGTGATAATGTGCATGTTTTAATGTTTGTTGCAAAGATTGTAATTGTGTTTTCCCCTGACCAGGCCAAACCTATATATGGAGGATGGTTGCTGCTAGCACCAGAGGGGACTAATTTTGACAATCCGTTACATAGATCACGGGTAAGTGGTTCATTTAGGGGATTTGAAACTGATTATATACAGAAGGAAGCTAAGTTTCGCCTCTTCACCTCTTTATGACTTCCTTTTTAATGAACATTTGGTTTGAGCCTCATGAGAAAAAGGAATTCTTTAAAGGGAACAACTTTATTTGACCCTTTGTCTGTAGCTTCTGCTAATGCTAAGAGAGAGCCAATAGGCGCAATACTTATGATTTCAGTATCTCTGTAAACAGATATCTGCTTATTAAAACAGAATCTGTAGTCAGTGGGACAAAATTTTGGTATCTGAAGTGTTCTGGTTTCAGTTCGTAGCCCGATTAGTATTGACCAAACAGGTTTGAGTGGCAGGTAAACAGTTCTGTGGAGAGACACATTGGCTGAACCTATTGCCTATCGTCCGACGACAGTTTAGCTTTGCTTTGTATTAGTGTTTTTTTTAATTTATTTATCTGCAATCATGTGCAGATACCTGTTTATAGAAATTAGCCAAAATGACAGGCACACGGACAAGAAGTCTTGGCCCAGATATCCGCATGTTACACTGGATCCCCCTAAATATTGGTCGATGCCCCCAAAGGGTTATCGTCATCACAGATACGCGATGGGTTCTGAGATTAATGAGTTTGTGTTAAACGGCTTTGAGTGTGGGTAAAGGTTAATATATTAGGGCAGCTCCAAGGGCCAGGTAAGTTGAAAAAGGCACTCAGCTTCTCTAGTCCTTCCTGTAATTTTGTTATCCACGTTGACACTCATTTGACATCTGACAAACAGGAGGTCTGGTTATTGTGGCTCCTGTAGCTGTTTCATGGACTCAGCAGCTTCCTGTGGGAGGCCTGGCCCTCTATCAGAAGAACCCTCCTTCCCCGGCAATAATGAGCCTGATATTGACTTTATTTCACGAATCCTGCTCCCCCAGCATCATGTAATGGGAGACATGCTCTGTTGCACCGTTTCCGTTATCAGCTCGCAGATTATACCGTGGTGGTGCATCCCAAAGAGGAGTTGGGAGAATGTGGGGGAGGAGAAGGGAAAAGTCCCAGTTCTCACAGCCACACTGATGGCTTCCATATGGAGGTTTTGGGGAAAAGCACCTCTGGATCCTTCAACTCAACTACTGTCAACAGGCTGCTTCAGCTCTGACATAATGACTGATGTGTTCTGCCTATTCTTACAATCAGCTCTTCGACACGGGTGTGTAATTAGTGGCGTGCAGTGCTGAGGTGAGCAGGTTTGGACTGACCAACAAACAAATAACAGATAAAAAAGCGCTGACAGGTTGGGAGGGTCTTGTTTTAGGACCACTTTAGTTTGACAGTTTGTGGGTCAGCAACACTGCAAGCCACATATCTCTCATCTTTTTAACAGATATGATTGCAATGTCCCCTTAACATCACCCGTGGAGCATATCAGCACCCCTATTGAGAGCTTCCGATGCCTTTTAGGTGACAAAGCACCTCTCAATATTTCATGGATTGGGCTCAGTGGGAATCGGAGCCCATGATATTTAACACTGTGACAAAATGGTGCATTAAGATAAGAGGGAGGAAGTAGAGAGCTCATCAAGCCAATGAGCAAGCAGATCAATAAAAGCTGTAATCATATCATTTGCACAAATATTGACAGAATTACCATTCATACTCAGTGAAATGGTTGAGCTTGTATATTCAGAAATACGATATGTTTCATCTTCCTCGGAAGGCTGGGGTTTATTAACATTGTGCAGACATGATACTCCAGATATAAGCTCAATGTTGCGTACATTTATCACCTGTAACGCAGATCTGGGCATGATTAATACTATGTGCAGCTGTGAATGCCATTATATCTGCATTCAGCTGGGGCAGGTGTTCTACTGTTGTGTTTTTTTCCTCATACATTCAATAAGAAAAACAAGCTGGGAAAAAAAAAGAGACGATTGATTTTTGTACCGAACCATGACGATAAAATGATTTCCAGCCAACTTGAAAAGCTTGTGATGTTGTATATTCAGAAAGTGCTCTAAGAACTGTGAGCTCCTGCATGGCAACTGTTTCCCAAAGGCTTGCTTGCCCTTGTGTATCAACTGTTTGTATGTGTGCGCACACTAGTGTAGTGGCCAAGGCTTTATACCCTGAGGTGAATAGTGTACATAAGATTCAAGATTTTAATTGAAACATTTACAGATCCAATAAAAAAGGCTGGCTTTATAACTGAATATCTGTCCAACAGCTAAAACTGTGTAATGCATAATGAAAAACAGCTTTGAAACCACATAAATATGGGTAACTTTTCCCATGTTATCACCAGGATTGTCATGATATATCATCTCTTTTGTTTTTATACAGAAATGGCAAAGGAGGTTCTTCATCCTTTACGAGCATGGCTTACTTCGATATGCTCTGGACGAAATGGTAAGTGAAAGCTTTCATCTTGTTTGCTCTGACTAGAAATTCTAAATGTGATTCTTAAATAAAGGCTGATGTTTGAAAAATGGCCTGATATCAAATACTAGCTCATGGGGTGGTCTATTTGAGCGGGAAAAAAAAGATGGCATGGTAAATTTAGCATGAGGTAATGTCCGTTTACACGGCTGTATTTGGCACATTGGAGCAACATAGTCATGCCTTCTCCCCTCTTACCCTTCTCTTGCTCTTGAGTTTGTTTGTTTTTAACAGTGTTTCCCCCATTAAACGTATGGTTGTGATTCTGCTCCTTTTAACTCACATGAGGATGCAGCAATAAAAATGAGGAATTAATTTACAGCCTTTTAAACACTGGAAGTGTTTGATAGTTTAGACATTCACTGGCGTTTTAGCGTTTGTCAGATGACTATCTGGAAGGTGTGATAGGTTCACTGCCATTTGACCAGGCAGTCGCCTCACTGTTAACACCAGTACTTTGTTTCATCCAAGATTATTCTGTGAATGTGTTAAACACTAAGCTAACTAGCACAGCAGTGTCAAAAGGAATGAAGTGACACCATATGGTGTTGATACTAAAAGTCATGTGCCGAGCTATGGGTGTTTGTTCAAGTGGCTAACACACTTATTGTGCAAGAGCCCCATGGTAACTTCCTGAAACTGGAAAAACCACTCAATGCCAGGAAGACTAATGTCTTCAGTCATCTTTATTGGTGCGAGTAGTTGAATATCTATTAATAAATATGATGCTAATATGTACACTGACTGTCTTTTATCTTTGAGGTTTATGTTTTTGTAGGTCACCGGGTTGGATACCATAGTTTGTCGGTTCTAAATGCACTGCAGCATGTGGGCACGCTGAATATCGATTGACCCAAAGCGGTACTCAACAGTTTTTTTTCTAAACGTGGATGTGCTTTGAAACGAGGCGCAAGCAGAAGTAGTTGAGACAGCACTTGCTTTGTTGCTTTTGACCCTTTCATACTGTATGTGGCATTCTCTGGCAGAGGAGAGGGATGCTGAGGGGGTTTATGTAACAGAAGCAGCAGGAGCGAGGATGCTGTGTGGAGTTTTTTTTTCCTTTACTGTGCCCTTCAGGGTCATTTTATTCCCCCTATAGAAATCTGTTACATGTTGAATGGCGAGGCTTCTTTTTTGCGGAGTGCATCCTAGGGTTTTTAACTGAGGATTTTATTGTACTAAACATGCCAAAAATGCTGTTCTGGCCTCAATGTCGTCTTCATACTGGAGCCAGTAAATTGTATTTGTGAGGCACTGGTGGAGAATGATGACACCAGAAGGAGGACGGATGATGTGTTTACTGGATGAGACAAAGGAAAGAGGCGGATGTCCTCCTTCCATTCATCGTTCTCTCTGGATGTCACTCTTCATCTTTTCATCTGCGCTCTGAATGCAGGATCAAAAGGAGAGAGGGTTAGCAAGGGTCTAGAGCTGGAAATATCAAGTGACACTAAATATAGAAGCTCACTTGTCAACCCAAACACATTAGAATAATTGTTTGGTGTTGAATAAAACAGCTGCACAAACTTGGTTAATTGGCATACATATCTGACATTTGTTTTCTGTGGACAAAGAGGTACGTAGGACGTTGAACATAGGGTAAGGTTAGAACCTGTGAGTAGCAGTACAGGATAAACTTTTCACTTGTATAGACAGTATAGGTAATGATGCTGCTAAAACATTGTTTGAAGCTGTTATAATATTGGAGCAGTTTGAGTTGTGGTAGTTGGTTTAGTAACTGGTGTTGTTTTGCCCTTTTTATTCATTTTATATGTATGCCTATTTAACTGTAAGCATATTACATACAGTAAAACTGTTCAGTGTCAAAATGTTTCAGATTGCTACTCTCAACATTATATTTAAGAAAGACACATTAAGATCAGTTTAAATGCTATATTGTGAATGACATCAGGTCAAATCTAAAGAGCTTTCGCCAGTATAACGTTGCGCCAGACCACATCAGAGCCCCCATCTGAGAGCACTGGTTGGGGCTGTAGATGAGGAGGTGCCCCTCTGTTTTCCTCTTGGCCTAGTTTTATGGCTCTTGTGTCTTGGCTCTAACCAAACCCAGATGGAGTGCGGTCCCAACCTGCAGGATGTGGCACGGCTCTGGGGGAAAGGAATGGGTTAGCAGAGGCCTGGGAGAGATTGCAGTTCTCGGAGCCATCGATTTTGGGGTTGCCCACCTATGGTGAACACCCAACACGACGCACCACTGCCGTCATTTTATGCTAAGAGCAGCTGTGGCTTCGAAGAGCAGTTATGTTCGAGAGACAAGTGGTAAACAGAAGAAAATGTAGCTTCAGTAAGAGTGAGGTGAAGACGAGATGTGCTCTGATTGGAAGGATGGAGAGAGTGAATAGCTGAACATGTTGGCCTGCATAGAACATGTGCTGCCATGCAAGGCTAATGTGTTAGTGCAGTTTTCATAGATCATTTTGCCTCCGAAGAAGAGAGTTGAAATTTGTTGTGACCAAGCTAGTTCTCTGAAATGTAGCATCGTAAATTTTAATAGCTGTAAACATGAAAGTGAGATAACTGCACTCACAAAATTCACTGTCAGTTCAGTCTCCAGTATTTGCTGAATGCACAAGCTAGATTTCCCTAGAGCAACCCAACGCAGTTATTTCAGGGGAGCGTTGCCAAGGCAACATGTTTTGTCCCTTTGTCCAGCAACCGTTGACCATGGCATGTGTAACATGGGACGGAGTTATTCTCTGTTTTGTGGAGAGCTCTGGCTGTCTCTGTCCTGACTGTAGGGATACAGGACAGAATGCTCTGGAAGCGAAGCACGAGTGTGTGGGCTGAGGCTGTCTCTAGGCTCAGTCATATGGTGAGCAAGCCTTTCTACAGTAGCCGTAGAAAAAAACACAGCATCGAAACAAATGTGCAAGGCTGAATTGGATAGAGTTTTAGTTTGTGCTGAGCTGCACATGTTTCTGTGTGTGTGACCGAATGCACCTGGGACCGAGGGTGCTTGACTGCAGAGGCCGTGTCAAGAACAGGTGTTGCAAGGTTTTGAGAAACCCTCAGCTTTAGCCGTCTTGAGTTAAAACTGTTGAGGGTCTTATAATCATTATGAGGTAAGGTAAAGAAAAACGAACAACATGGTCAGAGGCCAGTCAGACATGACAGTGTGAATAAGCTGTTTAAGTTGTTTAAGTGATGTGAGAAACACACATACACACACCAAATCCATTATCACCTTGTGGTGAGGGCAGGTAGGTGGGTGTAGAGAACTCTCCAGTTCCACAAAGCCACTTTAATGACATCAGTGCAAGTTAAAATGATCAACACCCACACTCTAATAACTGCTTTGCAGCACGGTCCTAAATACCCCACACAACATCTAGCTCCCATGATGTTGCATTGACCTAATTGTAACCTTTTCTTACTGACACACACACACACACACACACACACACACACACACACACACACCCACCCACCCCTCATCATATGATCTAGGTTGAAATATTTTTCTTTGCAGTGTCTCAATATCTGCTGTGGTCTCTGAGCTCACACTGAATCACAGCCTCAGCTTTTGTACTGAAACTCTTTTATTACTGTTGACGGTGCATTGTTTACAATATTTCCTCGCTTTATTCGAAGGCTGTTGGAAAAGACAGTGCAGTTTGTGTTCTCGTGCTTGTCTGTTATTGTGTTTTAGTCCAGACTGAACAAGCACAGTATACCTGCAAATAAAATGAGGCTACCTATTGAGTTGCAAGGCACAAAAGGCCCATTCAGAGATGCTTGAATTGCAATTGCCTTTAGACTGTATTGACTGCAGTTGACTGTCTGCACTGCAGCCATATCCCTTGTTATTCCAAGGAGAACATGATGTTCTCATGACGTTTCAGCTGTTGAAGTCATTCTCATTTCATCTCAGCTCAATTAATTTCCTGTGTTTACTGGAATTGAAATAGTGGACCCCTGCCCCATAGCATGGTCCAAGAGCTGAGAAAGTTTTGACAAACTTCCCTCCATTTCCCACAAATTTGTGCAGTCTTTAAACTTGAGGCAGACCATTCTGTTGCCTCTCTCCTGAATCTTCTGGACATGAGCATATACAACCTCAGCCTGTGTTCGCCCTTAGACCTGCGAGACCTTTTGACATGCTGAAACGTGCACAAACTCCCTCCCGTCTCTAGCCCTGTGAAACATGAAAATCAGGGCTATTTTTAACCAATTTTGAAGAGCCTTTGTCTTGCGTTGGTTCGGGAATGAGGAGAGCTTTCTAGGGAATGGATGAGTGGGCAGGGCCTCTGAGCTGCGTTGTTGCCTTCAGGCACTCTATGCAGGGAATAAGTGGAGGCTGACCACCCCACCCCATCAAATTAGGGATACTTATAGGGGAGCTCCAGTCTTGAGCTCACAGCAAGCCATGGGAAACAGAGTGGAGAGGGAAGTAAAGGCTGCCTGGAGTACACAAGTTTGCGTTACAGTACAACATGGAGAGAGATGGATCATTTAGGATTGAAAGGCAGATTGGGGAGAGAAGCAGATGATTTAAAGGGGAAAAGGGTAAAGAATAAATGTGATGTTGGTCACAGCTCGTGTTGATAAGACAGTGAAAGCCCTCCATATTTGATCATTGTGGGTTGTTTACCAAGTGTGGGTCCTGGGTGAGGCGTGTGTTGGTTTTGTAGAGATATGGTGCGTGAGAGTCTTCTTTAACCCCTGCCCTTCCTTCCCCATGGTTCCAGTAGGAACTGATCTGCTGGAATGTAAACAGTCATGGATTACAGTGGGGTCACTGTTCCCATTGCACAAAGCCACAAAACCATGGGAACAGCCATTCATACAGCTTGTAATCATCAGGGTCTACAACACTGTAACTGCCACTCATCCCCACATCCCAAAGCTGCTGCCCGGTTTACTATATCCGTAAAAGAACATTCCCTTGTTTTTGTTTGTCATTTGTAGAAGTTGGGAATTTTTGTGGGTTCTTGTCACGGTTTTATGCC